GTTTAAAGTTTCTTGTTACAATTGATATCTATACAGTAGCCTCTTTGAATATCTACCCGTGTGTATGTTTCTTATCTCAAGCATATACTCCCACTTTCCTAAAATAATTTTATCTTATAAGAGAAAATTATAAGAAATAAATTATAAATGATCAACAGAAAATAAGTGACCTTCTCCATCTCATCAAAACACAATGGCTTACTTCTCTTTCTTTTACTATACTCACAACACACAAGTAAACACAGTCTTTAATTTGAGCATGTACAGTACAGTGGTGACCCTCAGCCAAGGGGTGTACTGTATTCTCACTATAGGTCCGAGTTATTTTTCACACACACACACGCACACAAAAAAGTTAAATTTTCTCTCCTCTCCTCTATTTATGTCATTCGAATTCTATGGCTTCAGTTAAGAATACTATAATCTATTCAATCTATTCAACACTTACAAACATTTTAATCAATCAAAATTACTTTTCAGAGATTCAATTTAAGTTTAACATTATAGTCTCAATAATTAAGATTGTCATTTTTGTCTTTTCTATTAACTATGACATAAAAACCCAGTGGTAACTTTACACCGAGAAGAAGTAAGCTAACAAGTCAATAGAGAAGATAAATTAATAATAGCAACTCGTATATTTTCTTATTTACCCCCAAGTGGTTTGGGGCGTAGATTAACATTCGCTAAGTTAAAGGACACCCAGGTCGAGGGCATATATCAGTCCTTGAAAATTAAAAAATTCCCGCTAATCTCTATAGGCCCTAGAGCTATATATAACATCTTGAGTTGTCTGGCATACACCCCAGCAGGCAATCATGTGACCAGGCCTCATGTACTTAGCAACACGCCAGTACCTTCGCCTGTCCTACTCTGTGAGGATGTTGTCACTTCATGCTATCAGTGACGCTGAAATAAACTCTATTCCCTTTAATGAGGATGTTCCTTGTGATGCTGAGGAGCCATTAGGAACAGACAATGATTTGAGTGATTCTGATGATGTTAATGATCCAGATTACCCACATAATGACAAGGATTGTGAGAGTGAGAGAGATGTCGAAGACCCTGTCACTATACGCCTGACTCCATCACCCACAACATCGACTGTTTGGTTCTCAGATATACCAACACATTCAACATCCCACCACTTGATAAATTTAATGTTGCCCAAAAATAAAATTAAAAGTGCATTTACCACAAATTTGTATTTTCTGCTCATTTATTTGATTTCTGATCACATTTGGAGTACAATAATTTAATACAAAATGATGGATGTTAAAACTATTGTGCTACAACTATATCCTGTCCACAAGAACTTTGCAGCAAGGACTTAGTGCCAGAATGAGGTGTATTGGGTTATCTAGAACTCTTCATTATGTAATTTGTTTTCTTTTTATTCTGCAATTTCAAGTAATACTAACAATTAAGAGGTAATCTAGAAAAATATCTGAAGCTGGGGAAGTAAAAATTAGTACAGTATATATGAAACACACTGATAATATAGATATCTTAAAAATAAAATAGACAGTTAAAAACGATCAGCCACACCCAGCTATAGTCTATTGTATTTGGACAGGGAAGCCACGCCAACATTTCCACAAACGGCCTGGATTGGTTGAGCCAAGTTACCCATGGCAGCCCTGAGTTATGAGTCTCTTTAACATCATTTGTCAGTCATCTGTGCAGCTGACAGTAAGGATAGATCTACTCAGGGACTGATGAGAAGTATTCTAAAATAACTAAACCTTGACAATGAGAATTCAAATGCAATTTCAGAAATATGTACAAGAACCAATGCACCTATAGTATCAGTATTTAAGTTGAAATAATCGTGTTCTTATGATATACTGTACAGCATAAGTACACAAATTAGGAATACCCTGTAATATATTGCAGGTAACACATGCTAGGCTATTGTCAAATAAGCTAAGCCCTTAGGGATCGAAGTGGAGCTAAAAAGACATAGATAGATCATATAGGAAGGATGGAATGAATAACAGAGTGAACATAATTTTGGGTATGTGATTAGGCTCAATCTCTCTTGGCCGAATCACTGGATAAAAACAAAGTTCAATTCACCACTTAGTTGACATAAGATTTGACACCAACATTTTTGCAAGCCACCGGTGAAGCACAAGCTGCCCGTCCTACCCACAGACTAATAATGGCCCGACCTACCTCTATGTCCATTTCTGATGATATTTAGTCATTAATCGCAGAGTTTTATTGGTCTTGAAGTGGTAATAAACAAATATAATTTGATTCTACAAGAAAATACAATTACAGTGTACCTACACATTATGTACAGGTAAGTAATTTTTAGTAGTGAAATTTTCATAATAAAAAATAAAGAAATTGAAATGCTTTTCTTCTGGCAGCATTTGGCAACCATATTCTTAGACACATGATCACCAGAACAGCTCCAACCACAAGCCGTAAAAACATAGATCTGCGAGTGGCTTCCCTGTAATTTCCAAACAGAATACTTTATTTTTATATACAGGGTGTTCATAAAGTCTCGTTCTGATTCCAAACATTTATTATATGCAAACAGCATAAGATATTGAAATGCAGTTTGCTTATGGGTAGGTGAAAAACAAAAACTTGAAGTTACTCTTTGAAATACAAAAACTGCATTTCAATATTTTATGCTGTTTGCACATAATAAATGCTGAGAATCAAAACGGGACTTATGAACACCTTGTACGTATACAGTATACTCTTGATTTAACGGAATCCAATAAAATGAACTCTTGATTTAGCAGAAGGAATTTTTTCAGTTATTTTTTGCTTGATTTAGTCTCCTTTCTGAGACTTCTGAGAGACTTTCAGCATGACGAAAAAGCACAGTACAATACAGTCGACCCTCGTTAATTCGGACTAATACGGGGGGAAGGGTGTCCGTTTTAGCCGATTGTCCGAATTAACCGATTTAGGGGTTAATACTGCATTATATTTCAAAGTAAATGCAGTGAGTTTGTCCTTAGCCTTGCATACCGTATATACTCGTCTATAACCCCCCTCGTTTATAGGTCGACCCTGATTTTTTGACCAAGAAATCGTAAATTTATGATATTCCTCGTTTATAGGTCGACCCACGTTTTTGAGGGTAATGGAACAACAAAACCTTCAGTAAAAACACTCTACGTCCTATAAACTGAGGCTCGCCGTGCCTGAAACACCGAGTGCCGAAGGCAAATTGTTTACCATTTATTATTACGACACTTTACACTGAAACGCAGGTAGTTTCAACAAAAATATTGTATATTTCCATTCAAGTATTTATTCAAGTCAATTAGGAGGGAATATTATTATAATACAACAGTTTTTTAACTAAACCATTCGAAAAGCGATTACGGTAACATCTTTTGAACGAAAGAAAGCGAAAGTCATTGTTTTCGTCACGATTTTATCCCACTTTCCACTGTAATACGTACGTCATTTCAGCAAAAATATTACATTTCCGTGAATGCATTATATCAAGCACAGTATGAATAGAATACCATTGTAATATAACAGTATTTTAACCAAAAACTATTAAAAAAACGAGTAACTTCTCTTGAACATCGGAAGGTTAGGTAAAATCTTTTGTTTTCGTCATGTATTTTATCCTATTTTACATTAAAATACATCACGTTTCAGCAAAACTACTATTTATTTCCGAGAATATATTCATACAGGCGCAGTTTAGGTAAAATATACGTGTGATGTAACAGTTTTTTAACTGAAAACGATTCGAAAAACACGTGTACCGTCTAGCTGATACTCAACAGCTGGTGGTGCGTCATGCGTCATTGTAAACAATAGGAGGTTGAAGTAGATTACCGGGTATTATATTAAGTGTGAAATATCGAAAAGGTTTTTATTACCTGTATTTTTTGTAGATCAATGAGAACTGTGATACCGTATATAATATGATAAGTTAGCCTGTGCTAAGAACTTCAACATAGACTACTGAAAACACGTTGTAAGGTAATTTAGCCTATTGTAAGTTGGTGAGCTTCATTTGCTGAAGGAACTGCACAACTTTTCATTACTAATTGGTACATATTTTACGTTTCCATTGTTTACTGGCAGTAAATGGTAAATATTTTTCATGTCTGAAGCTAAAAGTTGCATCCCCCCCCCCCACACTAGTGGTGGAGATGTTACATTTAACCAAAAAGACGCTGGTGTTTTATCCCAGCAGTGGGTGGACCAGCATTTTAGCTTAAGGTCCGCATAGGTAATATTCCTACAAATCTAAAAAAATAAAAAAATTAAATAAAAAGTTCAGATTTTGTCCGAATTATCCGAAATCCGGATTAAAGGGGTCCGAATTAACGAGGGTCGACTGTATTAGTTGACTGAGAGGTCGCAGTAAAAAACACACGCGGTAGCTGCAGAACACAAACTGAGTGGATGTAAACAAACCCCATGCGCCAAGTGGTGCATTTGCCACGGAATTTAAAAAATCACGCTCGATTTATTAAACTAGTTCGCTAAATCGAGAGAAAATAACAGAAAGCTCGATTTAGCGGAAATTTCACTTTAACGGGAAGAGATGGCACGAATTAGTTTGTTAAATCGAAAAAATACTGTATATATAAAAGAAATATCCCCATTAGCCGGAACAATTGGTACAGAGGGTTTCCAGGTTTGTGAGATTTCCGGGTATTGAGACAAATTCCCTTATCCCCTGAAAAAATTGCACATCTCAGAATTTTTCTGGGCCCTGGTGAATGTTTCTGCATCTAAACTATGCACCATTGCTACAGAGGGTTAACTATGGAAAGATTTTTCTCAGGAATGATAAAATTTTATTTTCCAGATAATGGAAAATTCCAGGGATCGAAGATTCCAGCTAACAGGGATATCAATGTATTCATTTAGTGTGATTCGACTAATCACGAGCTTCCTTTGATTTGGCCCAGTTGTACGTGAACAAAGATCAGAGTTTAAGAAAAAAAAGATTTCTTTTCATTGGTAGAATATGAAGGAGACACAAGACAAAGGCTAAAGAAATTTTATGTTCTATTCAAGCATGCAAGTTCAGATGACTTCAGAACTCTCTAGCTCATTAAAAAAAGACCACCAAAAGATAAAAACTATACTGTACCAAGGATAATATACTAGTAAGGATAGTTCACCAAATACTTGTTTTACCCACAATGCACAGTTCTGTGACTTCACTGTCGTAAACACGCGTCATCTGGTGATCTGCTCCCAGGACCAGTGTATCAACAATTATGGTTATTTGTGTAATATACGGGTGTACCAGCAATGCTCAAATCCCAAGCAGAGAGCACATCAAGTATTAAAGATTTTCCAGATCTAAAAAAAATTGTGATAAATGGAAAATGTCTGCAAGCGCTCTGATAAAATAATCACCACATTAAGCTAGCTGAGAACTTATTTGAAGAGAGTTCATATTTCTTTTGTATGTCCTTAATTCTGGAATGTCTGTCAATATCCAGGTATCTATAGGAAGGCAGGACATTCCTCTTGCTATATGTGGCCAAAAAGAATTCTAAACATATATAATAATCTTGAAAAAATTAAAGCCAAGTACATTGGTATAAGTTTCAGGTGTTAACACTGCGCTTGTTTCAAGATGAGAGGGAAACTTGTAGTCTCTTAATTCTACAATATTAGTCAATATGTATCAGGTCATCCAAAACACAGTGAAACATTGTTCTTGCTAGTTTTTTCTTTTGCTATGTCACTTATTTTTTGGAGGACTATGAGAACATAAGGCATTCGTTTTGCTATACCTGGCTACAGAAAAGCCTTAGTCTTACAAGTATTCTAAAAAATGATGAAATGAAGGAAAAGTCACCACCATCCATGACTGCCCGCGAAGTCACCAGATGACGTATGTCACAAGCGTGATGTCATTGAACGGGGCAGAGCCAAAGTTTATGACATTACAGTGATTTGTCTTTACTATTTATAGTCCTTGTACTGTATTGCACATGCTTTTAGTTTATAAAATACTGTATAATTAAAAATAACTTCCCGCCCTTCTGTGCTGCTATTGAAAAATAAATTATATGAGAAACAAACTATTATTTTTACATGGCCTTAGCAATTGCACACTACAGTATATGCTTTTCATCTAGAAAACAACGTATAAAGAGTAGAAAAATATCTATAAAACTAATCCATTAATTCTATTTTATCAGGAATTCTTCTATCTTCATCAACTTCTGATAAAAATTCATCATTTGTGAAATCTGTTACATCAGTGTCCTTTGGTATGACTGTATCACTTGTGCAATGTGAAGATAAGTTGTCTTCATCACTATCACAGTCTAGACTAGATATGTCTGCATCACAAGAGGGTGATGGTGAAGTTTCCCTGTCCATCACCATCAGTGGAAGAATCTCATTTGAATTTACAGTTGATAATTGTGTTTCTACTGTATCCTGAGAAAGGTTTCCAGCTTCCATAATTCCATATCGACGATCTAAGTTTGTGGACCTCCGAGCCGAGGCATTTCTTTGATGCATGGCCCGTCCAGCAGACAGATCCTGGAGTTTCTTGTAGAATTTTTCTTTCTCACCATTATAGCAAAAGATATATTCAAAAGAGTTGAATATGGCCATAAACATTAGAAAGAATCCAGAGATGACCAGAACCTGAAAATTATCAAATATTTAGACTAATTCAGAACTTTATTCATTATAAGAGCAGATTCCTATTAATCAACATTTATTCATTACAAATTTTAATTAAATACTGTACAGACAATGACCATTATACGACGGGGTTAGGGACCTCAAAAAGTCAGTAATAAATGATCGATCGTATATCAATATTAATAACTTATGGGGGAATATAAGTTCTGTTCCTGAGCCCCTCAAGAGCCCAAACAAGTTTTATATCCTGCTGCTATAATGATAAATTGTGTCAATTATTCAAAGAATTTAGACATAGATTAAAAAAAAAATTTTAAATAGACATGAAAGCAATAAATTTAGACAAAATAAAGCTTTATTTTCATTTACCAAACATGATATACAGGTGTACAGTAGTAAGTTGTGATCCCCAGTTATCATGACAAGTAATCTCGGGTAACACATAATTTTCTTAATTTTTTTTTAATTTGTTACATTCACACAGTCTTTTGGACAGAATAAGAAAGAATTCTTATAAGGTCAAAACATAAAGGTAATAAACATTTCTTATGTACGTGAGACATCACAGAGCACAGGGGCGGATCTAGGAATATCAAAAAGGGGGAGGGTCCAAGAAGTTGTAGGTAGGGAAACATGGCGAGCACAGTGAGCCCACCCAACTGGTGTTTTTTTTGGGGGCAGTATGGCCCCGGCATATAATTTTCTGACCAACATAATATTATAGGCATTTTGAAGCCATGTGTGTGTGTGTGTTTGAGTGTAAGGTGATGCGGGCCAGCTGCCATCCACCAGTCCCTCCTCTCACCACTGTTTGGCCTTAAGATCTAAGGATTGAAGCATGTGCTGCTTCCCTTTATCTCTCACTTATTTATGAGCTACTGTACCACTACATAAAAAAAAGTGTTCTTTGTTTCATACACTGTAAACAAAAAAACAACTCTGAATTTACTTCAGTACTTAAGAGAACATTTGGGTGGAGCCATGATGATGAAAGCAGGCGAAAAAATTGAAGTTAATCCGAACAAAGTTTTCGTTTGTGGCCGGACCGAGCACTAGTAGGTAGCAGACAGCTATCAAACAGGGAGGTATGTACTACCATCTGGGAAGATATTGGAAGCATAATGTGTTATCTAGGGTAGACCCTGCTGCTATATGGCATCAAAAAATTGTGACCAAGTCCCAGGTTGCTGATCTGACTTTCTGCCTCATTTACACACAATTGCAGGGTCTCAATTGTTTCTCTTACTTTGACAACACAACATATACTGTACATCGTTTCTCACTCTTGATCTGTTTTATTTTTTCCCATTTCTATATATATTTATGGTGCAATTTGTTTTTTGTTTTTTGCTCCCCCCACAGGCTAATCCCCAATAAAAAAATACAAAATAAAATAAAATTAAATTAAAAAATTATAAAAAAATTAAAACAGGAGCTAAACTTTGAGCCCATGTGGCATGGGGACGCTACCCGTGGACTGTAATAGACTCGACCGCTGGTCCACGCAGAATATTATCTATCTGACCATGTTTGGTCACATTTTCCTGTGTTACCCTGGCTAAACCTGCATTCGAGTGAGTCTTAGCCCCATGTTAAGCGATACCAGGTAGTGATAAAAAATGCATTCGAGCGAATCTTCATTGAACAAACCCGCATTAAGTGAGGGGGCAGTGTATTGTATACTGTACATGTAAAGTCCTGTTTAGAATAGTACACAACCTTCCAAACACAGAAGCTCACAAGCCAGTTCTCAAATGATGCCCTTGTCTGTTTTGAAGTAGTTGGCACCAATCAAACTGGTGTACAAGCTGTCGTCTGCCTCGCCATTCGATTATACAGTATCTTTGAAAATTGGATCATTCACTTTACAACGACCAATAAAAACATTAGCATAAGTTAAACAAGTATCTCAATAGACACCAAGATGAGCGTGGAAGGTGCTTAGTACTGTACTGAACAAAAAGTAGTCTTCATACAAGAAACTCATCACAAATGCAGTCATTAATTGTAAAGAGAATATTGATGTGATAAATAAACAAACACAGTATGGAGGTAAAGCACTGAAATACAATACTATATTTAACTTCTATAAACACTGGGACCTTTTTAGCAATAACAGACACTCAAAGGCACACAGACATACCTGTACAAGCAGTAATCTCACGTTAATGTTATACTATTAGCAATAAGGTCATCTGGTGGTGTGTAATGGTCATGTGGTGGCTACCTGTTTAGCGGCCACAAAGAAATAAGTTGGGTCTTCATTTATGCGGTCAATTAAACCTGCGGAGTACCGCGTAAAACGAGAAACGGGTAAATGAAATAACGGAACATGGGATTAATTGAAATAGAGACTGGGCCGACCCCCAAACTCCACTTTTTCCGACACAATACGTACCTTGTAGTCAAACTAACATCTTAAATTTATGATGGTATGCACCCACAATTAATAATTAAAAAGATGGCTGGGCACACGGGGATGGGGGTTGGTTCCGAGGCAGAGGGCAGATTATTGGCCCTCACCTGTATCACTTGTATCACTATCCACCACAGAGGCTTGCAGGGCCTCTTTGTCAAACCCCTCAAAGTCCATATCCTCACTATCACTGACTTGGGCCGGCTGTGGTGGGTGGCGGGTGAAGAACTCGGGAATGTTTTGATGACTGGGCAACTTTGTGCACACCCTGCCCGCGTAAATGACCAAATTTGCCGCGTAAATCAAGCATTTCAATTATGGCAAGGCACCGCGTAAATGACAAAACGCGTAAACCAAAACTGCGTAAATCCAGACTCAACTGTACTGTACAAACACAGTTTTACCTCAAATAGGTCCTGCTTATGCATCTCCCTGGTGACCTTACACTAAAATTACATCACCATCAGAGCTAGAGGTGACACCCTCAGACTTCCCGGGTAGTGTAACTGCAGCACACACACACACACAGATGAAACTGCCATGTAAGTTAATGATTTGCCTGGATTTCAATTGTGGTGACAGATACACACTCACTTAGACTTGCTTCTTCCTCATTATCATTCTTCCACACTTCACTTCCCCCTCTGATTACATTTCAGGTGTCTCACTGTCTCCAGTCATTTACCTCACCTGAACAAACAATGAAGAATTTAAAACAAAATTCATACCTTAACAACACTTACCTTAAGCCATCGTTCAGGCAAAGGATGGAAAGGCTCAAATCGTAGCTCTGGTGGATGGCACAATGTACTTCGATTCACATGGACCACTTCCCCTCGTACCGCTCTCTCTACCAATCTATTACAAATTTAACATTTAATTAAAATTTATCCATCAGTCCAGATTCAATTAAACTTAATCTGAATGTTATACATAAAACTGTAATGGAACCTTTATTTTGCAATTTGCACTAGCTTAAAATCCCAATTTAATCCTTTTGCTGCAATTCCCTCACTTGGCATTTAATTCTGGCCACCACCAAACGATTTTATTTAGCTTAGGGTAACCTCCCGCAGCCAAAGGGTTAAGAGGGTCGAAGTGAAGTGTGAAACACAATATTGTGGTTGACAGCCATAGTAAGTACATTAATGTGAAATTCCAACACACTGAACACTTCTAGTCAGGGCCCATCAGGTGTTGTGGGATATGATCATTCAGCAGCAAGATGTATCATAATGCTGCTGGTGCAAACTGCTCTTCACTCAGTCACATCAATAGTCATAAAACACCCACCAAATTTTCAATTGAAAATTTAAGTTTTAGGATATACCTCCATATACGACTTTTATACAATATGAACTTCAGTCATACGGTGTAGGTTGTCATCATGGGTGACCTAGAAGAAAATACTCGTACAGGGTATCTATAAGTACAGAAGAAAACGTCTTTCTCAATTATACAGTACCACCCAATTTGTTTTAACAAATTGGTGATATAACAACATTTTCCTATACAGGGGTAAGAGTTTTTTCTAAGGATGTAAAGACGCCACACTTTGTGTCAGCACCAGGATGTGTGTAGTCTGAACACTTCATAGACAATAACAACACAATACTGGACTAAAGCCAAGACACATTGGTTCCTCCACAATGAAATACTACCCTGTATACAGTATTATATGATCATAAATCATTAAACAAAGAAAACAACTAAAATACAGTGGTTTAAGGTTCACATCTTAAACTTGATAAATAAAAAGACCCCCAGTTTTACGGGAAATTTTTAAGCTTGAGGTCGTCTTATATGCCACTACTGTATATAAGGTATTACAGGTTGTACCTCTCTAGTCCGGCATTCTGTGGTCCGGAAACTCCCGTGGTCCAGAACGACTTTAGTTTGTCCAACAGATAGATAGGCAGCTTTTTTTTTTTTTTACTTATCTGAATTATTATTATTATTACAGGAGTATTAAATTTTTGCCCCTCAGGCCCCAATGTGGGTCAGTGACCTATGCCCGGGTGGACTAATCCCCTTAAAAATAAAAAAAGCCGGGGGAAATTAAGGTTTGTTTACATCCGGCAGTTCGGCTGCTCTCTCTCTCTCTCTCTCTCTCTCTCTGCTTGTCTATACAGAGTACAACATTTAACCCTTCAATATATATGAGCAGCAAATAAGTGTTGCTTTCATATTCTTATGTTGAGTAATGACGATATGTTTTCACATGTGTGCACTTACATCACGCAGTCTCACTTTTTTTTTACCATTAATGGTTAGCTACTTATAATGTTCCATTTATTTACATTAAATAACATTACAGGTACTTCAAACAACCATATTAATTTTTTTACATTAATTTTACTACAGCTAAAATCAGGGTCTTATTTTCTTCAGTTTTATATGTAGAACCAATCAGTCACTGGTTTTGTAAGCTTTAACATAAACAATGCCGGCAGCCGTCTCGTCTCCTCTAATATTCCACGTATTATTAATAAATTGTATTGTTAATTTTGCACACACAAACATTAATTCAATAAAAACAAATTCAGAAACATTAATTAAAATATATATGAACAGTAAATAAGTGCTGCTTTCATATTCTTATGTAAAGTAATGACGATATGTTTTCACGTGTGCGCACTTACATACACGATCTCTCTTTTTCTTTACCATTATCGTTAGCTACTTCTATTGTTCCATTTATTAACATATATAACATTACTTAAAACAACCATATTAATTTTACTACAGCTACAGCCAGGGTCTTATTTTCTTCAGTTTTATATATAGAACCAATCAGTCACTGGTTTTGTAATCAACGAAAACAATGCTGTGTCATTTCCTCGTGTGTTTTAATATCCTACGTATTATTAATGAATTGTATTGCTCATTTTGCACACAAACATTAATTCAATAAAAAAGACATTCAGTAATAAACAATAATGAATCTTTTGTACATAAGAGAAATGACGCTGTTTACACGATTATGCACGTCGTCTGCACGTTGGCGGGCTGTTCAAACCCGTCGAAATTCAAGTTTCCGCAGTCAAAATTTTTATTTATTTATTTTTTTGTGTTCCAATAAAATACGTTAAGAATTAAAAACTCGCGAAATTTGAGAAGCTACTATACGACATTTAACCCTTCAATATGTCTTCAAAGAGACCACGATGCAGAGAAAGTGGTGCTAGTGCTTCCAAGCATAAGCACAAGTCACTATCTATCCAGGAAAAGGGTGAATTTCCATGGTCCGGCACCGGTCAGGTCCCGAGGTTGCTGGACTAGAGAGGTACAATCTGTAGTAGGTTGGAGAGTACTTAAAGTACTCTCATAGTCATAAAACAAATGATGAAAAGTAAGATCCCATTTTATGGCTCAGGGAAAGAAAGAAGTGACCTATGACATTACCCAATCAGGGCACCCCCTCCCTCACACACACACACGAACTGACCTACACCTGTGCACTGACCACAGTAGTAACGGTATAAATGACATGAAGGAAAGGTAATGAGGAAGAAAGAACCTAGTCACTGAAGAGGACTGTGGTACATTACTCAACACATGAGAGTAGCATTCCATGTGGGGTGTAAAAGGTTACTGGAATGATTAAGAAGTTGCATGGAAGTAAAGCAAAGATAACTTTAAAAAAAGAAAACTTAAGTTTTTTGGATGCATGCCTTGCAATGTTAGAAACGTGGTGATTACAAGAAAGGTTACTAGCTTCAGTAAGACCAAGGACAGTGACATTAGTGTTGCTGGTATGCTTGGGGTGTTGCTATATGTAAGTGAAGGCTGAGAATGATCTTGCTTGTAAGACACAGAGAGAGTTTTTGTCCTGGTGGTAGTGACTATAACTACGTTATTTGTGTCCCACTGAACTATGGAATCATGATGTGTGTTTACCACAACTGTAGTGTTTAAATGATTTACTGATAAACCTGACTGAGTGTTAGAATTAGAATAGTAAGAGAGGCTTGTGTAGATAGTGGCACCAGCAGAAAAAAATTGTGTACTGCTGGAAGTTGGAAAGGAGTATATGTAGGAGCACGAATGGAGTCTTGCCACACTCAAGCATTAATGGGAAAGTAATATGAGTCTGAACTGTATGGGTGAGGCAGCTGGTCCCATAGCTTTTGGATAAGAGGTTGTACTGAATGACAAGATAACAACTGACCTCCTTCTTTCCTGTAGTTCTGTTGGTGTCATAGAGGTGCCATGAAGGATTAACTGCCAAGACATCAACTGCCCATTCAGGTGCTGGTGTCGTGTCTGCATTACTGTTACCTGGTAGATGCCAACTGGATCCTCTCCCCAACAACGCACGGTACCCAGTGGCCAGTCCACTAGGCCCTTGGTAGAACTAAAGAAGAAAAAGTGAAGTTCAAGTCTGTGATAGCATTAATCTGTAACAACAGGCCTCAGCTGGCCGAGGCCATTTTGTTCGCTAATGATGTACAGTAAGACCTCTCTAAGTCAGACTTCTGTAAGACAGAAGGCCCAATCAGTCAGACAAGTTCTGACTTAGGTGGTTCTGTGGGGTGGCAGTTGGGAGAGGAGTCAGTTTCTGCATGTTTGTTGTCATGACCACTGCTCCACTGTGCACTGTGGATTTTTTTTGTATTTAGTGCTTCCCTGGTGTATTATTATGGCTTCTAAAGCAAGTATGTACTGTGATGGCAAAAACAACACCACTGAGGATCACTGGGAAAAAGGAATGGTGCTCAGAACTCTACCAATTGAAGAGAAAATGAAGATATGAGACACATTTGATGCTGAGGTCTCCATGAATGATGTCTGTGAGGAGTTTGGGTTGAAGTGGAGTACTTTTTATGACAGCAGCCAGATTTAAGCGCTTACTTGATATAAATGTAATAGTATACGTATTGTAACTGTAAGCTGATTTGACTTTCTGCCTTATTTACACACAATTGCAGGGTCTCAATTGTTGCTCTTACTTTAACAACAAACATACATAACTTTAGTCACTCTTGATCTGTTTTATTCTTTCCATTCTTTTATTCTCCTATGATATCAGTTGACAATAATATTAAAGCGGGGCCTTCTCGGATGGGTCCCACTGGTCGGGAAGGTTGTGAACCCCAGGGCCGATCTGACCTGGGGCCACAACTGAAATCACCACGGTTGCTGGAGGATCGGCTTTTTTTACACTTCATTTTTCCAACATTTACGGCCTGAGATCCTATTTCTATATCCCACAGATATCCTCTTAACACTTTTATGATCATTTCATTATGTGAAGTGAGGTGTAGGTTACACTTTTTTGTGTTTGAGGGAAACATTATTGGGGCACTCGATGCCTGGGTTGTGGTAAAAATGGGCCATCCAACCGATTTGGAAATGTTGGTAGCCCTGCCCAGTTGGCCGGGATCCTGACCCATTGGAGTGCCCAAAGCACGTTCTTGAATGATCTCTCCCTACATGAGCGTCAGGCTCCCAATGGTCAGGCTCACTGTCAGGCATGACGACTGTGAATGTGGCCCTTAGTCTGATTTTCAACTCAGAGAATTCTATCTCTCATATTTCTTAATGTTGATGTAATAGTGTTTTACTAACCTTGTTATCACTTAAAGACCTGACATTAGTAGTTGAAGCTTAGTAATAACATTATAAAAACAACTAATTTAAAACAGTTCAGATAAGCAGAATTTTCTCCAGCAACCCCCAGTCTAGGGACACGCATTTTACAGACTGGAATCTGCCCCAATTAGTCTGGTGTATTATAGTACTTCTGTAATGCCAAATAACTCCAGGTTACTAAACCAACACATTTCAACCTTTAAAAAATACTGTACAGACATAAATACTAATAAGTCCTCACTTGTCAGCATCCCTAGGAGCTGCAAGGGTTGACCTAGTGCCACTGGGACACACCAGGATGATGTTAAGGCTGCCTCGGTACTCATGTTCTATTGTTACTCGCACCTGCAAACACAATGAGAAGGTAAGTTCAAGTGACTATATGAACATTCAATTAGACATCATAAAACATCACTGCTTAATATTTGCATATTTTTGTTTTATTTAATGAGAACACAACTGCCCCAAAACATAGATCTGGAAAGCGAAAATCATTACTCAAAGGTAAGAGCCAAATAGGTTACAGTACTATAGCAGCTAACACAACCCAGCTCTCCCCCTTGGCCATTAACTGAGCATTGACCAGAAGTCTATAGATTTATGCATAAAAATATTCTCCTTTAGCAGTTTTTAATTATAGTACAGTACACCCAGATAATTTGAAGATTTTTATTTCACGGTCTTCTATTATTTGCGGATGACACCCTGGATGTCCGCTGGTAGTTTTGAAGTTACCGGCATTTTTGCGGCCTGGACAGGGAGCCATTCATTCTAGAGACAGTAATTTCCTTTAACTGCAATGTATATACAGTATGCATGTGTGTGTAGACACACACACACAAAACACATACAAATATACTTTATAATAATGGGAAAACCCTCTCACAAATAATCAGGAACAAATTTATTAAAAATGTGAGTCTACCCTGAAGTCTACTCCGTGCTTTGTTACAGTGTTGTTCTATTTTCCCCCCTAAGCCAAGCGCGTAAAGTTGAATGCATGTAAATTAAATGAGCGTAAGATGCGATACGACTGTACTTCGAATAAGGAACTATAATAGAAAGCGATACACTGACTTACTTGCACAAACTCTAGCATGTTGAGAGCATATCCTTCCAACACATGTTTGTTCACAGTGTGTTTGACCATTACTTCACCAAGTCTCTCTGCTGGCATAGGAAGACGTACCACCATCTTCTCTGAGGTGTATGTAGTAGAAAAGGGGACAGATTCCCAGATAGTTGCAGCTGAGACCATTGCTGCTGCATCAACCAGACCAAAGCCATGTTGATGTGAGTGATGGAGGCCAGCACCATTATTTGCCCAATCTGAGTTGGACATGTCAATCTGAATGAGAAGGAAAAACAACTGTAGTCATCAAGGCTTCACTTACATCATGAGAGAAAAGGTTTTCATCAACGGTGACTTATGCAAATTATATTCTCAATAAATTATGGTTACAATCTATCACTAGCTTTCACCTCACAGTTTTATTAAATCTGGTCTTCCTTACAAGAGCAAACAAACTTTTCCAACACAAATTTCCACTTCATTTCACTTTGTCAAACATTTTACATCCTTCAATATTTCTTGTACCATAACAATCAAACATACTTTTCTTGAGGTCAGAGCAATGAGATACTGAACATCCCTCCAGGAGAGACATGGTTGAACCTCCAAAGCCAGAGCAATCACTGCAGCAGCTAAAGGGGCTGCAGCAGATGTTCCTGAGTGGTGTTTGGTACAGCCAGATGAGCTGCTCTCACTCCAGTCTGTAGTTACCTAACACATAAAAAAATGTAGATGTCAAGGATTGATCTTGGAGGGCCAATTTAATAATAGAATCATGAGAAGGAGACCGTGTATGGTATGCCAGAGACAGACTGACAGATAAATATTAAGTAAAACCGTCATACACATTCTCATTGGTTCAGCAGGTATTTAGTAAAGGTATGTAGTACAATATACAATTGCCTGCAGGAGAAATGTTCCACCTCTTGGTGGCGATTCCATACATATGGCAACATCGCAGTGACGGATGAGACGAGTTTCCAATAACAATTCTAATAAAGATTTACAGTACAGTGGTCCCTCGGTTAACGAGCACAATTCGTTCCAGAAGGTTGCTCGTTAACCGAAAAACTCGTTAACCGAAACCATTGTTTCAATGGGTTTTGGGTAATTGGCTCCAGCTTATCAAAAATTGCCTAAAATCAACAAAAAAGGTAGTAAAGTACACTTACTTTGAGGTGTGTATGTAGAAGGCTCCTCAATGATGATGATGGGAATTAGAATGGGGATGGAGGAGAAGGGAGAAGAGAAGGCATTGGGGTAGATTGGGGTAAAAGAGAAGTCACCCCATGGTGCCATTTCACCCATAAAATTTTAGTTCTCTTGGTGTAATTCAAGATTATTTTCTTTAAATCAACACTGCACTGCATTATATATTGTCAATATGTAAAATAAATTTCAAATTGACCAATAATTTGCTTGGAAACACAGAAAAAAGAGTTTAGTTGAAGAGAGTCTCAAGCAAGATGTTACCTCCACTGAAAAGACACAGAGACTGACGCCTGTATGGTGTGTTGACAGGCTGTTTGGCGCACAAAAAACTAGCTTCCTATACTTCAATTATGTTCAATAATTGTTAAAATGACTAAAACTTTTAATATTAAACTTTTAAAATTATTGAATAGTACAAACTTCTTGATATTTACTAAAATAGTAAGGAATTTAAGCCCTAGAACCGATTACTGTATTGGCGGACTAATACTACAGCTGGTGGACCGCCAAATGCAAGCGAAAACATGTGGAGGGGCGCTCGTTAAAAACTCGTTAATCGAGGGATTGCTCGTTAACCGAAGTTAAGAATCTTATGGAAGGTAATTCGTTCACCGAAATCTCGTTAACCGAGGGATCACTGTATTTATAATGACGCTATTGAATGTAAACCCATGTATGGAAGTAAATATGGACAAGCTTTTAAATAACTGTTTATTAATCTATATCTCTTCACTCATCATGCATACACCCTGATTGCATAAACCAGCCATGTAAGTGGTCACATTTCAGTGATCTGAGTATAAGAAGGTGGATTATGCCATCCACAAGAAATACAGTCGGCCCTTAACATACGCGGGTTTAGCATATTGTACACAGATTTGCAAATACGCGGATTGCCCTGCCGGAGGAATATTCTGTACATTGAAGTAATTGAAGTACATTCAAATCGCGCCATTCAACTCGCACGCGGCACCGAACACGGGACACTGCCCGCTCCCGCAACCTCACACACACACACATAGCTCTCCCTCACTCAGTCAGTCTCGCTGTAACCACGCTTGTATTGACATCAGCATTGTAGTTGCAAAAATATTACATTTCCGTGAATGTGTTATATCAAGCACTGTATGAATAGAATATCACTAATATAAGAGTATTTTAACCGAAAACTACTAAAAAAACGAGTAACATATCTTGAACATCGGAAGGTTAGGTAAAGTCTTTTGTTTTCGTCATGTATTTTATCCTATTTTACATTGAAATACATCACGTTTCAGCAAAACTACTATCTATTTCTGAGAATATATTCATTCAGGCACAGTTTAGGTAAAATATACATGTGATGTAACATTTTTTTAATTGAAAACGATTCGAAAAACACATACCCTCTAGCCCTGTTCAAGGAGAAGACTGGGAGGAGCTGTTTGGTGCTTAAGACGATGACAAGGAAAATGATTTTGATGGATTTTAATGAAAATATTCAGAAAGACCCTGGCACTGTCAAGGAAAGTGGCTGCTGAAGGCTTCCAGGACATGGCAGAGGACGAGATTAGGGAGCTAATTGAAGAGCACGACACTGAGCTGACCGAGGAGGATCTACAGGAGTTAGTAGACTCAGGCAAGGAAGAGGAAGCGAAAGGGAAAGAGGATGAGGAAGAGGAAGAGCACCAAGAAATAACGTTGGCGAAGTTGGGGGAGATGACCAGGAATATCGAGGCACTGAAAAACCTGGCCTATAGTATGGACCCCTCCATGGTGCGTGTCCTGAAATTCATGCAAGGGATGGATGACGTTTTTGCTCCATACAAAAACATCATGGAAGAAATGAAAAGAAAGAGACGACAACTCCCTATCACCATGTTCTTTGATCACCGAAGGAGAGATTTAACACCACCAATCACTGGCGGCAGTGAGGAAGCAGCTGAATCAACCGTCGCCCCCACTTCACCACCCGTTATGGAATTAAGTGACGATGAGCCCGATGACCCCCGTCCTGTCGCCGAGGATAGGTACGGTACAGTAAAGTGAAATTTTTATCTCTTTTTTTTTTAATAGCTTTTCTTGCCATGTTTATTGTTTGTAAAAATGCACAGCACAGTACAGTTCAGTACTGTACATAGAAAGTGGAGGTGCAGTTATTCATAAAACATTTGTGTTTGTTGTCGGCAGCAGTGACGGTGAGGAGGTGGAGGAGGCAGAGGAGGGAGCGGAGGGAGCGAGTTGGGAGGAGTGGTGACCTTGGACGCGGGAGCAGGGATGAGTGGAGATGCCAGCCAGTACATTACGGGTGTATTAATTGTTTTTATAGCTATTTTTGCATTTTAATATTAAATACTGTACATTACGTTTCAACAAAACTACCATTTATTTCTGAGAACATGGAAATGTAATATTTTTGCTGAAATGATGTACGTATTACAGTGGAAAGTGGGATAAAATTGTGACGAAAGCAATGACTTTCTCTTTCTTTCGTTCAAAAGATGTTACCGTAATCGCTTTTCGAATGGTTTTCAGTTGTGGGATTATAAGGCTAATGATAGGATAGAATATTATTGTAATACAGTACGAGTACAACAGTTTTTTAACTGAAAACCATTCGAAAAGCGATTACGGTAAAATCCTTTGAATAACGAAAGAAAGCGAAAGTCATTGTTTTCATGATTTTATCCTACTTTCCACTGTAATATGTACGTCATTCCAGCAAGAATATTATATTTCCATATTTATTTCTGAGAATACGTATATTCATTCAGTCACAGTTAAGGTAAAATATACTTGTGATGCAATATTTTAATGAAAATACGGTATCGTAGTTTTCTTTTGTTTCAAATTTAATTAACAAAGATTGATGTTTCAAATGTAATGAACAAAAATTTATGTACAGTATCTATAAATAAACTTTAATAAATGAATACTTTATGTTTTACATCGTCCTATGCTACCATACCATGGATTTGGCTACTTTGGGCTTGCTATGATGACGCAAGAGATCTGCCCTGGCAACTGTACAGACACTCACAGCTGGTGGTGCGTTGGTGCATCGTTTCCATTGTTTACTGGTAGTTACTGGTAAATATTTTTCAACCTAACGAAACTATTACCCGTTTAGAGGTCGACCCCCAATTTTTTGCCAAATAATTTGGTCTTAAAAACTCGAACTACACACAGGTATATACGGTAAATAAGGACATGGGGGGCCAGGGATTTTTTAGGGGGGGCAGCAAAAGTACACGGATTTTTAACATTCACGGGTATCTCTGTTACCTAACCCCCGGGGTTAGGGACCGACACCCAGGTCGTAAGTCGAAATGGTTGTAAGTCGGAAATGCTTAAATAACACATAAAAAATCGAAAATTTGGGTCTCTTTTTTCTTCTCAGCACCACAAAACAATTACTTTTAAGCTTGCCAGCCATTGTAAAGTGAATTACAGATGAAAATTTTGTCTGTGTACTGACTTTGGGACTCAAAAATAAATAATTTGACCAAATTTTGGTACGACCGAGGCAAGTCGTAAGTGCGGGTGGACGTAAGTCGAGTCGGTCGTAAGTCAGGGAGTACCTGTGTATATATATATATATACAGGTATATGCTGATAACCACAAGGAAAGAAGAAAACACGAAGTTCCCAAGCGCTTTCGTGTAATTCACATCTTCAGGGGTGAGTACAGACTAGAGAGAGAAATACAAACCAAGGTGTATATATTCAGAGGAGGGTGAGACCAGATCCACAATGGTCAGGTATTAGGTAATGACCCTACTAATCGTTAAATATCTATCTATCTATCTATCTATCTATCTATCTATCTATCTATCTATCTATCTATATATATATATATATATATATATATATATATATATATATATATATATATATATATATATATATATATATATATATATGTACGTACGTACGTACGTACGTACGTACATAAGCACGCACGCACGCACGCACATATATATATACAGTATTACCCTGCTTTACAAGGTTTCACTTTACGTTATTTCTCATTTACCATTTACGAGGTACAGTGAGTTCTGCTATAACGCGTGTTTTGATAACGCGAATTTGCTCTAACGCGATTTATGAATTCGGAACAATATTTGTATAACGCGATCGCTTGTTTGCTATAACGCGATTTTTGCTTACTATTTCTCCAATTTTGTGGTATTAACTGTGAATATGGTAAAGAAGAATATCTCCAAAAATCATTCTGATGATAGAATTCCCGGTGATTATCGTAAAAGAAAGGATATAACACTTGAAGAGAAGCTTGATGTTATCAACCTCAAAATCACCCTTCTCCCCCATCAAGTTACATTCATATTTTTTCAAGGTAAAGTGTTAAATTTACTGTATGATTTCATTATTAGATATGAATGTAACATTTATTTAGACTGTGCTATCCTTTGTGTTAGGCTAACTACTAAATTTTTTCGATTTCGAGTAATCTGCACCTAACCCTATTTTCTCCATAAGCCCTGTTATTTCTATTACGCGATTTTCTATAACACGATATTTTACAAGAACACAATTATCGCGTTATAGCAGAACTACCTGTACAGTATGTTATATTCATACAGTCTATTCAATCACAATGGATGGGAAGCTCTTGTAAAAAGACTTGCCTAATTCACATAACAAATATCATCAAAAGAAGATTAAAAATAAATACAAGTAATTAATAATAATTTTGTGCAATTTTATTGGAAAATTGTAGACTAGATAAATTATTGGTGAAGTCAATTTCTATGTGAATTTGCCATGAACTAAGCTGTTTTACAGTCAATTAGCAAACTAAAGATGAGATCTACTATGTTCACATTCCCTGTATATACAGATATGAACTTTTAAACAATAATAAATCTTAACCAGTTAAGTATGGGATCCTTCTGTGCTGAATAAAATCGTCTGGCATTGGCCAAATATTATTATAAAATATATAAAGTGGTGTCCCCATAATGAAGTGGTTAAAAGCTTGTCATTGGAAACTACAAATATACAAAACTTACAGTTATCATTGTTCCTTCCACCATTGCCAGAAGCAACAACATATATGGCCCCATATCCCTTCCTGCCATAAGTGATGCCGTGTACCAGTGCACGAGAGGCCAGATGGTGAGGACCATCTACTGTCTTACCATCATCATCTGGACCCCAGCTGCCATGTCAGTAAGAAAAAATAGTGAGAAGAAAGACAAAATTGAAGAATGTGCTACTAACATAACTTGTAGCAGAAGTGACATTAAGGAAAATATGGAAAGGCCTTTAAATATTTCAAACGTCCATCTTTAGATGAAGAGGCAAGTAGTCCCGCTGCTTCATCTCAATAACTCCACCACTCCCTACCCCAGGCAGCCTCTATATGCAATCTCATCAACCCTCTTAGATAAGTGTTATATTATTAACACATATTTTATATCTAAATACTCATTTTATCTTATAATAATATAATTTAGGTATGTATTTAATATTTTAATCAGAAACTTTTGATCAGAAATGCTCCACAGGAACATAACCCCTATTTATATCAATAGGTCTATGGTAAACCCATATTCAATATGTGTTGTACTTTTCAAGAACATATGTCTGACATATGGTGGGGTATACCTGTAATCTGTATGCCAGGAAAGGTGGTCTTCTTATTTCAGTTTTCTGTTGTAACATTAGCAAAATTACTCTCTTAATAAACAATACTTTATTATTTCCCCAATATTGTATTAGATTCCAAAAGTAAAATTTATTTACTCTTTTGTGAGTGCCAGCTGACACGACCATCAAGGGAAGAACCCCAAGAGAAGAGACCTAAGGAGACAGTTTACCAACTATTATCAATTCAGAGTACAACTGCTTATCCTTATACAACTGTCAAAACCATGGGAGGAAAAGATGGAAGAATATATTAGTGAAGAAAGAGGTAGGTGAGATGGGGAACAGAGAGCACAAAGCAGGTGTAGAGATTGGTCAGTCTGGAGGTACTTCTCTCAAGGCTATGCCCCTAAAATGGGAGCTCCCTGGAGGCATTATAGATTAGTTAAGATATGAAATCAAACCATCTTAATGGAAACTGTTACATGCAGGTATAATCATTCACAGTGCATCCCAGAACCACCATCCAATATAAAGTTCCTGTGCTTCTATATCTTATCACACCAGGGAATTCTCTTTAATAACCACAAGCCAGATTCTCAAGCCTAGTAAACTATACTGAAATATGATAGGCTGAGTTACTTTCCTGGGGAATCAGTACTTGGCTGAAATGAATGAGAATAAGAAAGCAGGTCACACACACTAAATTCAACACAACATAGGGTAATTAGCAAATGTTAACACTCCTCAACTATGAAAAAACAAAATTAATTTGCTTTCCTTATTATACAACACCTAAGAGTGTGTGGCTTCTGCCTGTATTGGTTCAAGACCTAAGAAAGTGAAGCAAGTTGCAATTAGTTTCCAGGAGACATGTTCAGCTTGGAATGATAGCTGGAACTGAATGGGATGATGCCTGGAATTCCAATAAAGCTAATCCCGCAAGCAGACAAAGTACAAACATGCTAGCGACCATGGTGATATCATGATCAATTCAGGTGTAATGGGAAGGTGTCACCAATTAATGAATTAGTCCCAGCTACTAATGTCAAGGGTTTAATTGGGATTTCAACCCAAGACTTATGGAGGGTAATATGCCATATATAACAATTAATTGGGGGTTTAAGTGAATATTAGGTTAAAAGTAGGGGCTCTGAGAACTAACCCCATTTGTACCATAAGTGCAATTGGTTTACAATCCACAGGGTCTGCAGGAACATAACACTACCAAGGCTCAACATTGGGGATATATCCCTGGATTGTGTCGATGAGTTCTGCTACCTGAGTTACTTGATCAGTGGTGGAGGTGGTGCTGAAGCTAGCTCAGTTGCAAGAGTCAGAAGTGGCTGGAAGAAGTTAGGAAGTTGTTGCCTTTATTGATGGTGAAAAGAGCTTCTTTTCTCAAGAAAGGAAAAATGTATGCAACCAACAAGAGAAATGTGATGTTGTTTGGCAGTGAAACATGGGCACTTACAGAGGATGACATACATAGCCTAAATCTGAAATGAGAATGATGAGATGGATGTGTAATGAGACAATGAAAGGTAGGAAATGCAGTACAGAGATAAGATGACAGCTGGATATTTGAGAGTATTGGCGAGGTTTTGCATAGAGGTAATATGAGATGGTTTGGGCATGTGGAGAGAATGAAAGATATTAATATTGAAACTTGTATTTAACCAGAAAAATAGAGATACAGAGTGGACAATAAGAGAGACCAATTGGGTCAAGAGATGCATGAGTTTGAAAGTGGTGGGGAGGAGAGCCAGGGGCAGACTGAAAGAATGACATGAAAAGAGGTTGTAAGAAATGACCTCAGAGATAAGAACCTGACAAGAGAGGCTGCAAGAGACTGTGTAGCAAGGAGAGCTGCCATCAGGTAATCAAACTGTGGAAAATAGCCATATAACAGTGTTGGAGATGATGATGATGATGATGATGATAATGGTGATAATTATACTGATGATGATGGTATGACATTCCAAATCTTTGCTACCTGGGTTCATGTCCGTTACATCTTCAGTTAAACTCTCTTTACTGCTTCATGATATAGAATAATCTCAATATTTAACTAAAGTACAGTATGCAGCTAAGTAACTGTTACCTCACAAATAGGAGTATAACCTTAAAGAACTAATTTATCATGTGACTGATCTAAACCTTGGCTCTGAACACCTTAATCAACTACAGTACAGCTCTCATCATACAAGATCACAGATGAATGAAAAGCAGAAAAAAAAGAATGCAAACTATAGCAACACGACTCTCTTTGACGAGTTAATAATACACAGTATAATGCCCTCAAATTATAAGCATTGTACAGTACTAAGACACCAAAATTAGAAGCTCTAATTATCAGGTTAATAAGTGTCTTTATTCTTACCTACAGGAATATATATCATTCACTTCTAACCCTTGTATGAATGCAGCGGCTTCCATGGAATCTGTCATGCGTCCCCCAAGTACACGAATTCCCGAGATGTTAGCTCTGTAAGCTACACCAACACCACACACATTATTGGTAACTGCGGCAATTTCCCCAGCACATCTTGTACCGTGTTCATTTCGCTCTGAAATTATATAATTCCAGCATTAAACTTAACATCAGTTTTCTTTTTTACTCCAAGTAATATTCATACTGACAATGATATCTTCTTTTGGACTTGAATATACTGTATGTATTTTAAAAAACTCTTATATATGTACTGTACAGTACAGTGAAAACTTTGACATTGAACGTGACTACAGAGAAACCTTCTTACAATGAACCTCATTACAATGAAACTTTTCTACTTTGCACCTGACTACAGTGAAACCTTACTAAACTGAACCTCACTACAGTACACTGGTCTTCCTACATTGAGCTTCACTAGTGAAACCTTTCTACCATGAACCTCACTAATCAAACTACAGGGGTCCCCATTATTTGTCTCCCTTATATTTGCTGTTTCACATATTTGTTGCGCATCACTCAGGGAACACTTTATTGCTACAGTATTCAACATCTTACACCCCACATATTCATCCTTAGAACTACAGTAATTGCTGGGGCAGAGTCAACCTCATCTGAGTACTCACAAACCCTGCAGGGTAAATATTTAACTCGGGAAGTGGTTACGTATTGGACATTAACATGCTGTACTTCACTTTCTTTAACCACCACAAACCTAGGTGCTATCACATTACAAACCAATATCAAGACAAATGCCATTCTGACAAACATAGCAGCAGGGGTGGGAGAAGAGGAGTTACTTGAACATGGATTTAACTCTGATTACTGTACATAAGTTTTCTATGATTGGACAAAGTAAAAATGGATTTGGGGGAAATCCTCTTGCTCTAAATATATTTCTGCTTTGATTGAATAAATCCACATCATTCAAAGACCTTTTTCTATAAAGAAAAGGTGGAACCCTACATGTGTTAAAGAGACGACTACAGTTTTTAAATAATTAGGTTGAGAACATGTAGTGAACTAACATATTTACTACTATTTTATATATATATATATATATATATATATATATATATATATATAATATATATATATATATAATATATATATATATATAATATATATATATATATATATATATATATATATATATATATATATATATATATATATATATATATATATATATATATATATATATATATATATATATATATATATATATATATATATATATATATATATATATATATATACAGTAGTACCCCGCTTAACGCGGTCAATAAAACCCACAGGGTACCGTGTTAAGTGAAAACCGCGCTAAGTGAACAACAGAACATATGGGATTAATTCCAATAGAAACTGGCCTGATCCCCAAACTCCACTTTTTCCGACACAATACCTATGTTCTAGTAAAAATAACATCTTAATTTTATGATGGTACATGCACACAATTAATACTTAAGAGAAATAGAGAAATACAGTCGCCAAGTTAATGTCCATTCAAATAATGGACTCAACTCCCTCCCCCTCTTCTCACACTACACTCACTGGCTCTTCCCTCTGAGAAATTTTGGGGGGAAAACCACTAAATTTTAATAAATAATACCTCAAACTAAAGTTAGGATAATACAATTGACATTGCTGGATTCCTTGTAAGACCAGGAATATTTTTAATATAAATGTCATATATTTTGCACAAAAGATAACATATTTACTCAGAGTAAACATTATATCTAAAATTTGTATGTCTAATGCAAAATTTATGATGTTTATATTCAAAATGATCATCAAATTGTAAGAATTCCAGCAATGTAAATTATATTCTGGCCGGGTAATTTGTATGAATTTTATGAGCTAAAACAAATATCTTCAGTTAATAAAAAAAAAAATATTCTTCACGACACTGTCTGTCAATCAAAGTGCCCCACCTTGCCTCCCCCCCCTCTTCCAACCATGCGGTCGTCCCAACCCTCCCCCCCACCCCCACCAATCCTCCCTTCAAGAGATGTTGGGTGAAAAAACTAAATTTTAACATTTAGTATTAAATAATACCTCAGATTAAAGTTAGGATAATATAATTGACATTGCTGGATTCCTTGTAAGTCCAGGAATATTTTGAATATAAATGTCATATATTTTGCACAAAAGATAACATATTTACTCAGAGTAAACATTACATCTAAAATTTGTATGTCTAATGCAAAATCTATGATGTTTATATTCAAAATGATCATCAAATTGTAAGAATTCCAGCAATGTAAATTATATTCTGACCGGATAATTTGTATGAATTTTATGAGCTAAAACAAATATCTTCAGTTAATAAAAAAAAAAAAAAATTATACTTCACAGGTAACAGATGGTCAGTCGGTCCCTCCCTCCCCCCCACCCCCCACCAACCCTCCCTACCAGATGTGTGGGAAAACCAGAATATTTACCTTTTTAGTAATAAATAATACCTCAAACTAAAGTTAGGATAATATAATTGACATTGCTGGATTCCTTGTAAGACCAGGAATATTTTGAATACAAATGTCATATATTTTGCACAAAAAATAACATATTTACTCAGAGTAAACAATATATCTAAAATTTGTATGTCTAATGCAAAATCTATGATGTTTATATTCAAAATGATCATCATATTGTAAGAATTCCAGCAATGTAAATTATATTCTGGCCGGGTAAGTTGTATGAATTTTATGAGCTAAAACAGGCAGGCAGGCAGTCAGGCAGGTGGGGGGTGGGGGGTGGGGGGAATCTAAAAATAGCGTCTCCAGCCAGACACTCTGCGCGTATACGTGGAAAAAACCTGCATTAAGTGAAAGTTTGGCTCTGGCAGGCACCGTGTATATGTGAAATCGCGCTAAGCGAAACCGTGTTAAGCGGGGTATTACTGTATATATATATATATATATATATATATATATATATATATATATATATATATATATATATATATATATATATATATATATATATATATACTGTATATATATACACACACATTATAATCTGCATTTACGCGGTCAATTGAACCCGTGGAGGCCCGCGTAAAATGAGAAACGCGTAAATGAAATAACAGAACATAAGGGAATAATTGAAATAGAGACTGGGCCGACCCCCAAACTCCACTTTTCCGACACAATGCATACGTTGTAGTAAAAATAACATCTTAACTTTATGATGGTATGCACACACAATTAATAATTAAGAGAAATATCAATAATATTAGGTTTTTTAACAATTACGTTAGTACAAAAGCTGGGTCGGCACACGTGGATGACGGCTGGTTCAAAGGCAGAGGGCAATATTAGTTGCCCTCCGGTGAATCACTTTCACTACTCGCAGAGGTTTGCAGGGCCTCCCTGACAAACCCCTCAAAGTCCGTATCCTCACTGTCACTATCACTGACTTGGGCTGGCTGTGGTTGTGGTGGGTTGCGGGCGAAGAAGTCCGTAATACTACGTTGACGACTAGCATTGATGTTGTCGAGATAGATCTGGATATACGGCTCCATAACTTTCGTCAGATGGTTATTAGACGCTTCATACCGATGCTTGTCTGGGTCGTTGTCAAGGATGAGCTTAATTTTCTCCCCCAACTCGATGATTTCCTTCACATTATCATGCCTTGGTCCAGGTAATTCAAGGTTTTTCTCAGGTGGTGAGGGTCCCGCGGTGGCCATTGTGAGGGGAATAGCGGGCACAAGAAAGAACTGTATACGCGGACTGAGAACTGGCCCGGCTAGGTCAGTGACTTCTACCCTCTGGTGGCAGGGCACGTCATGTTACATTCGACCAATCACAGCTAGCGGCGGAGGGAATGCGTGGCCCAATCACAGTCCGATACGTCATATGACATCAGCGATAACGTAAGAGCGGCTAATGCGCACCCCTCACCGCATCGCTTCCCGCGTATGGTCAAGAATGGACCGCGTGGGTAAAGAATGGCGAGGCGGTCTGGACCTCTCCAGTCGCTCGCTGCTTAAAAGACCAAATTTACCGCGTAATTAAAGCATTTTCATTCTGGCAAGGCACTGCGTAAATGACCTAACGCGTAAACAAAAACCGCATAAATCCAGAAAAAAAAAACACACACGCTGATAACCACAAGGAAAAAGAAACCTCGAAGTTCCCAAGCGCTTTCGTGTAATTCACATCTTCAAGGAACTTTGTGTTTTCTTTTTCCTTGTGGTTATCAGCATATACCTGGATCACGCACACCTACAGTGAGTTACTTGCATATATATATATATATATATATATATATATATATATATATATATATATATATATATATATATATATATATATATATATATATATATATATATATATATATATAACATATATATATATATATATATATATATAAATGTGAATGTGAAGGTCTTGAATTGCGAAAGGCGGCTTGAGACTTAGTGTTTCTTCTCCTTGTGGTTATCAGCATATATATATATATATATATATATATATATATATATATATATATATATATATATATATATATATATATATATATATATACTGTAATATATATATATATATATATATATATATATATATATATATACATATATATATACATATATATATACATACATACATATACATACATACATATATATATATATATATATATATATATATATATATATATATATATATATATATATATATATATATATATATAACTATATATACTCACACACATACACAGCAGTGACCCCTCCGTTAACGAACTCAATCCGTTCCAGAAGGTCGTTCGTTAACCGAAAAGTTCGTTAACCGAAACCATTGTTTCAATGGGTTTTGGGTAATTGGTTCCAGCTCACCGAAAATTTCATAAATTCAACAAAAATGGTAGAAAAGTTCACTTACTTTGAGGTGTGTATGTAGAAGGCTCCTGGATGATGATGGGATTTAGAATAGGGGTGGAGGAGAAGGAAGAAGAGAAGGCATTGGGGTGGAAGAAGTCACCCCATGGCGCCATTTCACCCATAAAATTTTAGCTCTCTTGGTGTAATTCAAGATTATTTTCTTTAAATCAACACTGCACTGCATTATATATTGTCAATATATAAAATATATTTCAAAATGACCAATAATTTGCTTGGAAACACAGAAAAAAAGCGTTTAGTTGAAGAGAGTCTCAAGCAAGATGTTACCTCCAGTGAAAACAGAGAGACTAACTCCTGTTTGCTGTGTTAAGAGGCTGGATGCCGAGCATTAAACTAGTCACTTTACCTTCAATTATGTTCAATAATTGTTAAAATGGCTAAAAAATTGAATATTAAACTTTTAAAATTATTGAATAGTATAAACTTCTTGATATTTACTAAAATAGTAAGGAATTTAAGCCCTAGAACCGATTAATGTATTGGCGGACTGATACTAAAGCTGGTTGCCCGGCCAGTGCAAGCGAAAACATATTGAGGTCGGTTCGTAAGAACTTCGTTAACCGAATTTTTTTTCGTTAACCGAATTGAAGATCCTTATGGAAGGCAGTTCACACGAAAATTACAAGTAATCCCAGGCAAGCTCAAACTAGGGGAAGTCACGTATATATATATATATATATATATATATATATATATATATATATATATATATATATATATATATATATATATATAAATATATGTATGTATGTATATGTGTATATATATATATATATATATATATATATATATATATATATATATATATATATATATATATATATATATATATATATATATATATGTATATATATATATATATATATATATATATATATATATATATATATATATATATATATATATATATATATATATATATATATATATATATATATATATATATATATATATATATATATATATATATATATATATATATATATATATATATATATATATATATATATATATATATATATATATATATATATATATATATATATATATATATATATATATACATATATATATATATATATATACTTAAGATGCAGATCATAAATAAACACAATACCTGCCTCCATTCTTGACAGGAGATGGGTCAGGATCATCCGAGTTAAGGTCGTACGAGCCTGCAGGACTGTAATTGTCTCTTAAGTCTGGGTGCTGCCACTCCAACCCATCATCAATGACACACACGGTCACACCTCGCCCAGTGATGCCACTCTCCCACGCACCAACAACATTAATATCATACTGACCAGCCACAGAATTTTTCTGCAAAATAAAGATTAAGAAGTTTTAGCAATTTCTGAACTGCAATGCAGTACAGTACTGTACTAAACTGTACTATCATCTAAAGCACATTTAACCCGAGTTGTAAAAAGTACCGGACTTTATTACTTAAGTAAAATTATTGTTACACTGGCAAAATGTACTCACAATCAGCAGATGCAATTAGTGAGGTGCTAAGCTTCAGAAATAAGTCACATAATGTCAGGAAAGACCTTAGTAACTCAATTCAATTCCCTGGGCGTCCCAAATTGCTATCGTGGTGTAGTCAGGTGTACCAACTGGGAGGTTGGTACGCTGTGACCATAAAAACAATGGCATTGGCACAAAACTTTTGCTTCCTACAAATATGGTGCTGCTTAAATTTTAGAAAAAGCAAATATCAAAATATTCTTTCTTACAGTTAGGTAGAAACTCTCTTCTTAATAGTAAGATCTAGCTACATGGCACACAATGTTTCAGGACAGATATGTGATGTAATATAAGCCTGTAAGGTGTTAGATGGCACACAGTGAGGTATCATGTCTCAAGCCAGAAAACAGATAATGTACAGTACAACTTTTTTCACTTGCTGAAATTCCATGCATTTCCTATGGTATCTTAATGAAGAAAAAATTGGCAACTCCTCAGTCTGAATATATGCCAACTGTGACAGTAAGACCTGCCTGACCATCCAACAAGCTGACAAATGTGCCAAAGAGGATAAAGTAAAGAAAAAAAAGTACACTAAGCTACTGGAAATGCAGGCACTGCCTTTCTCATAACACACTTTATATTTCACAAAACAAAGAATTAATAATAAGGTGAATCACTATGAATATTTTCATGGTGAAGGGATAAGTTCTGCCAAAAAAGGTTTTAAATATTGACATTAACAATTCAAAATAATAAATTGTACTATATTTATTAACTTTATGTTACAAAGCTTACCATGTCTGAGGCAGAATAGTTACATATAGCTACTTCTTACACTTAAGAAACAAAACTTTTCACATTTTCCATGAAACAAGGTAAGGTCCAAGTTGTTAATTCTGAAACTGCTCAGATATAGATAATCTGGATGTAAGAAGTCAATATATTTTACATGTTTCACTGTATGTATAGGGTATATATCATTCTGTGCTCGAGCATATCTCTGGACAGGAATGTGCTAAAATGAAGCACTATTACCAAAGTAAATTAAAAAAATATTAGCATGGGAACAATGGCTACAAGCAGTCATACTGGTGTGGACACATACTGTACACTACCAAGGCAATGCTATGAGCTGCGAGCGAGATGAAATAAGCAGATTTTAAACAACCCATACACAGAAATAGGCTCACATAAAATCAGCATTAATATAATACATGTCTTCTAATACTGCATTCAAATCTATATCAAAGATATAATAACTATTAATAGTATATAAAAGCATTCATAAACACTTTTAAAGGAATTAAAATCTTACCAAATGCCACTGTTCTTCATACAAGGGGTCATGAAAGTCTACTCTACGTCGTTTCTGTCTTGGTCTAAGCACTTCTTGATTAGCATACTTAACACAGGGATGATTACCAAAATACTGCTCCAAACATGCTTCAGTCCTGAGGAAAATAACATCATCCATCATGGATTTCCCATAGTCATGAAACACTGAAGACGAGGTATTGCTAGAGTGTGCTCTTTGTACTTGTCGAGTTCGTTTCATCTTCCATTTTCTTTTTTCTCGGGAGTAAAACCAATAGTAAGGATGAGCAATGATGTAAACATTTCTCAAACTCAGCCCTTTAATTACAATGAGCTGGGTTGGTATATCCTGTGTCTCCTGTTCAACTGAGTGATTCTTCTCACTAAATACTGGATCACTGTCATAATTTGAACTAATTCCATAATCTTTGGACTGATTATGACTTAAAATTACATCACTAACATTACAAATATTGTACTTCATGAAATGGCTTTTCTTTTTATAATCACGAATCACATCGTTAACTGAGCAACCATCTGTAAGCTCCACTACCCACGCTAGGGAGTGCACGTTGGATCCACGCACTAAGTGTAAGTCCCCACGATGACGGTATTCTGAGGGGTCTACCTTGTCTTTTGTGTAAACTGGAGTCACAAAATTCACCACGAGGGCACACAGCAGAGTACCCCATGGTAGTTTTTGATGATAAAATGGAATGTGTGTTCTAATGTCCACTGTAAGTTGTCTCCATTTGTGCTTCCACCACATGACGTATATTCTGATCATCACTTCTGTAAACATATTAAGGGATGTAATGTCATATATAAACAATGTACTGTACTGTATGATATACAGTATTCTTACAAACAAAGAAAACAGACCAAATATCAATGAATAAAACAATGCATGATACAGTATATTCTTATAATAAAATAAAATACACAGTATATACCATACATCAATAACAAATACAATCAGTTATTTTCCTATGATAGCTAACATATTACACGTGGAAGGCTTCTGACTTGATAAAATAACATTCACAAACTGTACCGGTACATCCCCAGACCAAATATGGCTTTAACTTTAAAATTACCTGGGTTAGCAACACATCCAAAAATCTCATATAAGAACCTGTCATAATGCACGTTCATATCAAAATTACAGCTGGTTACTTGGAAAACAACAAAACTGTTGAGGCAAACAAATGAAGACACCGCATCACTGCTATATGGTAAGCACCCTTGATGTCAAGCATCCAAGTGACTGCTTACACCATGGCTGGCTGTCAACACAAGTTGCACTCCATCATACAACTACTAGCTACTAACATCACAAAATCTGACTGAAAATGCCTATTTTTATCTCTACTGATAAAATTTATTCATCAAATTATACACATTATTCACTTTAAATAAAATTGCTACCACTAAGAATATCATAAAACAGGAGGAGGAATTGCAATTTCATAGCTTTGTTTTTCCCTAGTTCTTGTTACAGGTACAGGGGGTCCTCATTATAAGTGGTTAATAGGGACCAGAAAAAAGCCAGGGATAAAGAAACCACTTATAAAGGGGAATTAATTCCCATAAGAATTAACAGGAATAGGGTCTAATTGGGACCATCACATTGTAAGAGACAAAGTTTAATTTGACATCTTCTAACATTTATATATACACTATACCTTAGAAACATTTATTAAACATTTGATTACACATTTTTTTATGAAATTATTTAACTTCATAACTTTACTAATAACAAAGCACGGAGTAGACTTGAGGGTAAACTCAACATTTTTAATACGTACATTTGTTTCTGATCAATAGTGAGAGAATTTTCCCATTATTATTTATTTGTATGTGTTTTTTGCATGTGTCTATACACACACACACATATATACAATACAGGCAAAGGAAATTACCATCTCTAGAACGAATGGTTCCCTGTCCCGGCCGCGAAAATGACGGCAACTTTAAAACTACCCGCAGACATTCTTGGGTACATTCAGGGTGTCATCAGTGAATAATAGTAATAGAGGACCTCGAATTTTCCGGGCATACTTTACTCCAGGAAGGGAAGCACTTCACTCTTGAAGATCGTCGCTACGAGGGATGGACCGTTTAGATATCTGAACGACCTTCTTATAAGACCTAATAATTTAGTCGATTGATTCACCTTCTTCTCACAACGGCCCGAGAACTTCAGTTCATTGTCAACATACACACCCAGGTCCTTTTTGCATACAGCCTCTATTAATGCAGTTTCATCATCCCATTAGAACATATGATACGCCTCCTTACCATTGGTACGCCCCCAGGTGCAGCCTCTTACACTTCGTGACACTGAAGCTCAGCAGCCATTTCTTTGACCACTCTTGAAACTCACAGAGATCTTTCTCCAGCTCTTCACAGTCTATATTAAAATTATTAGCTGTCTTGCAAGGATTCCAGCAATGTAATTTATATTCTGCTAACTTTAGACTGTGCCATTTTATGTCAAGTTTAGTCACTTTTATTGGCCTCCAGAACCTAACCCTATTTTCCCCATTGATTACATGTAATTATATATAGCGATTTAGTATACGCTTGTATAGCGAACATCCTTGGACCCTACCTCGTGGTATATCCCGACCCTACTGTACTGTGAAAAAAAAATTAAAAGAAATAATTGTCATACGGGCAAACACAAAGAAAATACTCTGTACTGTAAACACTTCTTTGCAACACGAATTAGTTGGCTCAGTGGAGGAGTGGGAAGAGGGTGCAGAATGTGGGGGGGGTAGCATTTAGGAGTCGGAATATGTAGCGTCCCTGATGGTCTGCGTTACTATGGCAAGCAGGGAGTGTATGCAAATTGCGATTGCGTTAAACTTTCATTTGACTTTTATTTACAGGTTTGGCAATAGTACTTTTTGTTGTAACTTATTTATTGGTATTATTTTTATTTATTTCTCATATTTACTGGTACTGTATATAATATTTTAAAAAAATATGGCTACAGGAAGAAAATACAGTAATATCTCCGTTATCCGGAATCCGTCATACCCGGAACTCTCCGATAGCTAGAATTGAAATTTCTCGGAAAATCGTTTACTATACCGAAGGGTCTGCCCCCCTGGCTAGGAAGTTAGGTAAAGTTAGGTAGGTTTGCTTGGTTAGGTTGTGAGGTCTTCTAACAATGCTTCTGCTGCTTGTTTCCATATCCACCAAGGTTAGGTTAGGTTTAATTAAGAAATAACCACTTTTTAACACATTTGCACAAACTACGACAATGTCCACTATAAAACACAGTGAAATTGAGCCATTTTTATAATTGTTTTCTATGAAAAATCGGCCGTGGGTCTGTCGTCAGTAATTACCCCCACCTAACTAGCCAAAGTAACCTACCTAACCTTATCTGACTTCCTAGTGGAGAAGGACCCAGCCAATCTGTGTGCACTCACAGGAAAATAGTGTTAGTAAGAACCTAGTCTGTCACGGAAAAATATCCACTATGTAACATTAAAGGAAAAATTTATTGTATCGTTTTTATTAGTTACTATCATCCAAACAACAACTGTGGAACATATGAAGGTAATTATATAGGACTAACTCTTGAGCGAAATTGATTGAAAACAATTATAAAAACGCCGGATTTTAATTGTTATATTATAGTTGACACTGTTGTAGTTTGTGGAAATATGTTAAATTGGATATTTTCAAAATAAAAGCGACTTAACATTAGTGGTTATGAAGATCAGACCTAACCAACCAAACTAAACAAACCTTCCTAACCTAACCAAGCTTCCCGATATATTAAACAGAAGGAACTTACTATAATATGGTGAAATTTGAGGCATTTTCTGGACGTGAGATGATACAGCCACATCGGTGATATGCAGCTCTGGCGGGTTAGTCCTATATATTAACCATTTGTTCTATTATTCACCACTTGCCAGCTTACTTAACTTCCACCCCAACATTAAATACCGTAGAGGTACATCACTTGGGAACACACAAAAGTTAATTCTAACATTCATATATTGCCTCATCACTGTTCTCTCATATTATACATATATTAGTTTGCTTACTGTATATCAGTGTGCGTGGCAGGCACCAGATTCATCCTTCATGGTGTGTGTGTCTGCCTCCTCCAGATACACCTCGTCACGTCGACTGCACCATGTAGTATACAGCAACAACAAAACACTGGTGCCACTTCTCACAAATAAAATTCCCTTGTCCCTACCAATTTCTTCCACAAAATCCCACGAATTTATACCAAATTCCTAAAAAAATCCAAAAAAATTAGGCCTATATTAATAAAAAGGAGTATACTTTCAGTGAGCAGTACTCTCTGAATATGCAAATCGTGTCTCTACAGGACAACTTTTTCGTCCGCAGGTTCTAGTTCATCTGAGGCTGTCGTATCTTTACTCTTTTACTGATCTAACACTTAACGATTTCTAAGTTTTGTATGGACTACATTCATTAGAATATGACAGAGAAATTAAAGCCTGTGCTAGTGTAGATACATCTTACGCTTGTTCCCCAAATGAATTCTTCCTGTCACTGACTTCAGCCCAAAAAGATACTAGGTTGGGGTCTGTAAGCTTGACTGTGACCACATTTTTACTTACGGCACTACACTCATTTTCCAAGCTATCCTCATATCAATATAAGTTAAACAGGACTGCACTCTAGCGAAAAGACAAGTTTGCCAACTCAAATAATGTGAAAATGAATTTGCCAATCTTATAACTTTGAACATTAGACTTCCCAAACACATCAGATATAGGGTTTATTATGAGCAATGTATACTGTATATCAAGTATGAGGAGTGTAGCTGTCTGTTCACAATTTATATCCTGCCTCTGGTGCCCCAAATACCCTTCTAATTAGAAAGCTGATCTTAGTCATGTTTTTTCTTTTACTTTACTTTTATCCTCTTCTCCACTGATCGGCTCGTTAGCCGCTTGGGCGGTCGGCCACGTCTCTGATACGCACTGATTGGCAATTATTGGGCATGCCCGGGCTCCACCTGTATATGAACCTGCTCCAGTGTTGGTCAAGTCTGGTCTTGAAAGAGTTCACACTCGGTGCTGTTGTGGGGGTAAGGGATGCTTGGTTCACACTCAGGATGGGATGGAGAAAGGAAACTCACAATGTGCTCTCTGTATACATATTATATTGGATGTACAATGCAGCTTGGTGGCTGGTGCTGGGAGGAGGCAGCATGGTTACAAGCGTTGAGTAGAGAGAGCTGGTTGGTGAGGGTGCTCAGAGGAGGACCAGCTTGTGGGTCGCCATGCTCGCCGGTGGGAGCGAGGGCCGCCAGGCAGGAGCGGGTGAGGTGGTGTTGCTTGCTGGTTGGTGTAGGTAGAAAGAGAGGTAGGTCATATATACATACTTAAAATGCTAGTGACAAGGGGGAAGGAGGTTCAGGGGATAGGATAAAGGGAGGATTGAAGTGAATTTTAGGAGGAGAGAATAGGTGCAGTGGCTAAACACCGCTTGGGTGAGGGAGTTTAAGTTGGAGGCAGCAGCAACTCGCCTGGACGCGGCAGGACAGAGTCAGGTTAGCGTCAGGTCAAGCGTCAGGTGCGTGTTGAGTTGGGCCATGGGTTCTCAGTGCTTGGTCGGCTTGATTGTGTGTGTCGTTTTCTTGTTTGGAGGACTATTATAGGGTATTGGCGAGTAGGGTTAAAACCGAAATAAGGAAAGCAAAGAGGAATAATGAGGTAAGGATAGCAAGGGAGGCGAAGACAAACCCCAAAGGATTCTACTAAATGTATCAAACTAAAACACGAGAAAAGATTGGACCAATACGGTCAGACGCCGGCGAGCTCACTGATAACGACAGAGAAATGAGCAATAATTTGAATAAATATTTTTCAACAGTTTTCACCACCGAAAATTTAAACATGATACCCGAGGCACCGACTCTATTCAGAGATAGTGAAGAAAACAAATTAAGCGAGATAGTAGTGACTAGTAACGATGTTAGTAAGCAAATAGACAAACTAAAGCCTAATAAGTCACCTGGTCCCGATGAGATATTTGCCAGAGTATTAAAGGAATGTAAGGAAGAGCTTAGTATTCCCTTAGCAAAGTTGTTTAACATGTCCTTAAAAACAGGTGTAGTACCAGAATCCTGGAGGATAGCGAATGTAATACCGATTTTCAAGAAGGGGGATAGATCACTATCCTCTAACTACCGCCCAATCAGTCTAACATCAATAGTAGGCAAATTACTGGAAGCAATCATTTCAAACTCTATTCGAAATCACCTGGAGAAGCACCGATTGATCAATGATTCCCAGCATGGCTTCACAAGCGGACGTTCTTGTCTAACTAATCTATTAACATTCTTTTCATCAGTTTTCGAATCGGTGGACGAGGGGCACAATTATGATGTGGTATATCTCGACTTTAGCAAAGCCTTCGACAGAGTCCCCCACGAAAGACTAATTAGAAAGGTAGAAGCTCATGGCATCAAAGGTAACATCCTTAAATGGATTAGGGCGTGGTTACAGGACAGGAAACAGCGAGTGAGCATTAACGGCACTAAGTCCCATTGGAGCAACGTCACAAGTGGAGTTCCCCAAGGCTCAGTACTTGGACCATTATTATTTATTATATACATAAACGACATAGATATCGGCATAGACAGCAACATAAGTAAATTTGCTGATGACACTAAAATAGGACGTGTTATTAAATCTGACGAGGACTCAGCAAAACTACAGGAAGATCTAAACAAATTTTTCGAATGGTCTGAAAAATGGCAGATGAAATTCAACGTGGACAAATGTAAAGTACTCAGTATAGGAGATGTAAACAGGGAAACCAGATACCAGATGAACAACGATGCCATAGAGAAATCCGACTGCGAGAGAGATTTAGGAGTAATGATAAGTAGGAACCTTAAGGCAAGTAAACAATGTGTTTTTGCTCGTAACAAGGCTAATAAAGTACTTGGGTTCATACAAAGGAGTGTTAGTTACAAGACTAGCGAGGTCATCCTAAAACTGTATCTTGCTCTTGTGAGACCACACCTGGATTACGCAGTTCAGTTCTGGTCACCGTATTACAGAATGGATATAGAATCCTTGGAAAGAATTCAGAGGAGAATGACAAGACTAATCCCGGGCATTAGGAACCTTGAGTATAGAGACAGGTTAAAGCATCTTAATCTGCACTCCCTCGAGAGACGTAGAGCGAGGGACGACCTGATAGAGGTGTATAAGTGGAAGTCAGGGCTAAACAAAGGGGACATTACAAAGGTACTCAAACTATCCAACCAGACAAATTTAGATTTAGGCGTGAAATAGGTAAACACTGGTTTGGAAACAGAGTAGTGGATTAATGGAACAAGTTACCAAATATCATCATTAACTCGAATACGCTGAATAGCTTCAAACATAGGTTGGATGCTTATATGAGCAATAGAGGTTGGGTGTAAACGGGACTGCCCAGTATGGGCCAATAGGCCCGCTGCAGTTTCCTCCATTCTTATGTTCTTATGTTCTTAATTTCGGCGTGGGAGATTACTCCCAGCTTCAGGTTGTCCCACTTGTAGGCAATCATTTTAAATGGAATGCCGTTGTTGTCTGGGATCTCCGCGAGCTGTACGGGCATACCCTTCTCGGCGAAGGTGATCTTGATGTCACCATGGAGCTTCAGTCGTTCCACCTTGGTGACCCCCACGATCTCATTAGTTTCAAAGAACTTCTTGAGAACTAGGAGGTTTAATTTCTTGGGGCAGGTCGGCGTATCCGAACGTATTCGCGCCACGTTATCAAACTCGTAACCGTTCATGGTGAAAGAGGGTTTGAGAGTGGTAGGTTAGTTCAAGTTTAGAAGCTCCAAAAGTTGTTGGTAGCGAAAGGCAGAGCGGGGAAGATGACAGAGGAAGGAGCAGGAGGTTAGGAAGGGAATTGTAGTGGGAGAGATAGTGCCGTGGCTTTACACGACTGCGCTTATTTGGTTAGTGCATAGCACACGTATTTGGTTTTGTCTGTGTTGGGTGTGTGATCCTCGGGTCACCACTCCTCCGGATTGTGTCAGTTCAAGTTTAGAAGCTCCAACAACTTTCCCTGAATACGAATTCGCAACCTTTCGATTTACAACAGGTACCTACTTTACTGCTAGGTGAACAGGGACCAAGGGGGCTAGGAAGAGTGTCCAAACAACTTCCGCTTGCCCGGGAATCGAACCCGTGACATCTTGCTTGCGAGGCAAGAGCGGTACCGCTTCTACCACAAGCGCCCCACCACGAGGTCAGGTCTTATATAGCGGAGGTAGGCGTGGCTTAATAGTTGACCTCCGTCATGTAAGGCAGCGCTAGTTGACCTGGACCACGAGGCAAACACTGGGGAATTCGCGGGGTCGGCTAATCAGCAAGGGTTTGTAGGGGAGGAATGCACTACACTGTACTGCTGTTGTAGCGGACCAGAAGTTACCCCGAACCATAAGTAGCCGAAACAATAACTGCGCATGCGCGGTTGATGAAGTCTTCACAGCATACCACAGTTGCCGCCCACTAGGTAACTTCTGGTCTGCGTACAGGCCCTCATGGGCGTCCGCAGGGTGAGGCTGGGTCACGTCACTGTTTGTGAATGTGACGTCATCAACCGCGCATGCTCAGTTGTCGTTTCGGCTACTTCTGGTCCGGGGCTCCTCTGGTCCGCTACACCGGGTGCGATTTTGGTGATCATCACTAATGCTATTTGAACCTGTCTATCTTACTTCACTTTATCCCAGAATGTCCTACCGCAATCTTTTCATTTCCATACAAACATTTGCATACTTACTAACATATATTAGTATAAAGCAAATTAAATATCAATGTTCATCCTCTTGCCCTCTTTTCAGCTTAACAGCCGGTCGACCGGGTAGCCGGCCTGGTAGGTCTCCATTACGCACTGTGGGCAAGTATTGAGGGTGTATGGGTAATTGTTTGTACCTGAACATATATAGCATTTACAGTATGACATGATGGTTGACACAGGATACGATGAAATTAAAAAAATAAAATTTACAGTATCAAAAGCTAACCAGTTGAACGCACAAGCTACTGATAACGTCCTAGTAAATAAGTCTGGGTGTCAAGTTGGAGCTGCATCATGGAGGTACAGTAACTTTGGGTTATATTTCTCGACTAGACCTTTATGACTCAGCGAAGTATAAATTATGTACCATTATATACACGATAATTGGTGACGTTTAACTGTCAGGAAAATAACAAATCAGCCTGTTGTAGAGACATAACTTGGGAGATGAGGTGTTTTACTTTTATCCTCTTCACCACTGATCGGCTTGGGCGATCGGTCACGTCTCTGTTACACACTGTTGGCAAGTACTGGGCATGCACCGGCTCCTGAATATATCGGAACCTGCTCCAGTGTTGGTCAAGTGTGGTCTTGAAACAGCTCACACTCGGTGCTGTCATAACACTTTCTGGCAGATTGTTCTAAGAGTTCACAACTCTGACTCCGAGGAGTTACCCCTCACAGTTTTTTTTGGCTTGCAGCTTCTTTAACCATGAGCTGTGATCCCTTTTGGGGCGAACGTCCGCCGGCTCCAGGTAAGGACTCGACAGGGCAGTGTATTGGACCTGCTGTTGTTTGTTTTATAAATGACATGCCTGACGTACACTCCTCCATACAAATGTTTGCCGATGATGCCAAGTTATTTCGGGAAATCAAGAACCAAGAGGACTGTGAAGAGCTGCAGAAGGACCTCTGTGGGCTCCAAGAATGGTCGAAGAAATGGCTGCTGAGATTCAATGTCACGAAGTGTAAGAGGCTGCACCTGGGGCGTACCAACGGTAAGGAGGCGTTTATTTGAGACAATGTGAGAAGGACCTAGGTTTGTATGTTGAGAATGAGCTGAAGTTCTCGGGCCATTGCGAAAAGAAGGTAAATCAGGCAAATACATTATTGGGTCTTAAAAGAAGGTCGTTCAGATATCTAGACGGTCCGTCCCTCGTAACGATCTTCAAGAGTCAAGTGCTTCCCCATCTGGAGTACTGTCACCTCATCTGGTCCCAGACTTATGCTAAGGACTGTCTGTTGGTTGAAAATGTTCAAAGGAGGGCCACCAGACTGGTGCCTACACTTCGGCACCTCTACTACCCTGAGAGATTGGAGCACCTGAACTTGCCTAGTTTATACTACAGACGGGCAAGGGGCGACCTAATTGAAGTGTATAAGAATCTCAGGGGGCACTACTCAGTCGAGTGTCCTTACTTGGAGCTGGCGGACGCTCGCCCCACAATGGATCACAGCTCAAGATTGAAGAAGCCGCAAGTCCAGAAAACTGTGAGGGCAAAATTTTTCGGAGTGAGGGTTGTGAACTCTTGGAACAATCTACCAGAGAGTGTTGTGACGGCACCGAGTGTGAGCTCTTTCAAGACCAGACTTGACCAACACTGGACCAGGTTCAGGTACATTCAGGAGCCGGTGCATGCCCAGTACTTGCCAACAGTGTGTAACAGAGACGTAACCGATCGCCCAAGCGGCTAACGAGCCGATCAGTGGTGAAGAGGATAAAGGTAAAGTAAAAGAGTAGCGCCCCTTGAGATGCTTATATCCCTCACTTAGGTCGCCCCTCACCCGTCTGTAGTATAAGCTAGGTAGTTGCAGGCGCTCTAATCTCTGGGTAACCGAGCTTTCATAGAGCAGGCACCAGTCTGGTGGCCCTCCTTTGCACAATCACACCCCTGCTACACACCCATCAACACATTTCACCTCACACCTGCAACACACCCATCAACACATTTCACCTCACACCTGCTACACACCTGTCAACACAACACCTTACACCCGCTGCACACCTGTCATATCTCTAACACAGTATTGGGTTTACAGGGAGAGGAGACAAGTGTGTCGGTAAGCAGCGAGCGGGGTTACTACGTGCTGGGTCAGGTCGTGAGCCAGGTGGAAGACCTCATCCACGAGTTCAAAGGTCACTGCAGTATCTCCATTCATGATATCCAAAACATGTCTCTCCCAAGGAGCAACAGTGAAAAGCGCACCCAGAATTCTGTCTCCATGTATGTATCCATTTGTGTGTGTTAAAATATTTACTGTATATAGCTAGTATATAAATATTATAAAGATCCCAAGCTCTACAAATTCGCAAGATCCACATCTTCTAGATGCGAATGCCGAGGTAAAAATTTTTGCAGCTTCTCCGCTGATGTGACATCCATCTCTAATATGTATCCGTGCGGTCCGACTAATTACCCAAATGTACCCAAATGTAGCCAAATGTAGCCAAATGTAGCCGCAATGAAGTCAAATGATGGTCCTACAAGATAAATCGGGCTGCAATCACTTCTCGATAATTATTTGGTGTCATAAAGTAAAAAAATTGGTAAACTTAATTTAATCTGAGTTAATAGATCGTGCATGTACGAGGCGAGTAATTACCCAAATGTACCCAAACGTAAGCATAATGAAGTCAAATGATGGTCCTAGTGATCGGGCTGTGAATCACTTCTCGATTATTTGGTGTCATAAAGTCACAAATTGGTAAACAATTTAATCTGAGTTGTGTTGTGTTAGGTTAGGTTAGGTACATGCACGCGATCTATTAACTCAGATTAAATTACGTTTTCCAATTTTTTTTTACTTTGTGACACCAAATAATAGTCGAGAAGTGATTGGCAGTCCGATTTATTCATGTAGGACCATTATTTGACTTCATTGCGACTACATTTGGGTACATTTGGGTACATTTGGGTAATTAGTCGGACCCGTATCCGTGTTTGTTTCCAAGTACAGTATGTAAGTACAGTGTACAGGTGTATTCCTGCTCCTGTCTCCTTATGTATACAGCATAAATATATACAGTACAGTACCTAGCATGATACAGTAGCTACAGATATAGTATATCATTTGGACACTGTCAGATGTTATTTTTTATACTGTATAGACTATACCGAATGCAGTAATGTACGTACTGTACTGTACTGAAAAGCTGCTAGTATATTTTACATCTGAAGAAAGAAAGCATGTCATTAATACTAGATTTCAAACATGTGAGTATCAGAAAAAAGAATTGTTTTTTATTTGGAGCTATTGTATGAATGTCTTTATGGATGATTTTAATTAAATTTCCTCTTTTAAGATCCATTGCAGCCATGTTGAACACCGGTCAAGGTGGCACCATCTATCTGGGAGTTACTGACAGTGGCCGGGTGAATGGTTTGTCTCTCACCAGGTAAAGTGGCAATACACTTTGTGATATCTAACTAATGTACTGTGTGTGTGTGTGTTCCTTAGCTGTGCATTTCCACAGTTTTTGATGTAAAGAGCTTAAATTTAGTTGAGAGTTTGGATGGTTGTATACTGTACTGTGTTGAATAACTCACCTAGTGAATGTATAAGACCCAGATGGAACAGTGATCAAAACTTTACCAGAGAATTAAACCAATTAAAAATACTTTTTGAAGCAAGCAGATAAAAGCTATAATTTACTATTAATTAAGGTTGTCAAAATCCTTGTCAATTGTGTCATATTGTCTCACAAAATCATTTAAGATACTTTTTGGTACAATACCCATGTCATGCTTAATGTTTTCTTATATAGTATTCAGAATAAGGCAGCTTATATGGAATTCTGTCCTCTACTTTATTCACAGAATGTTATTACAATATTACCCCGCTTTACGCGGTTTCACTTTCCGCGATTTCTCATTTACGCGGTGCCTCGCCAGAACCGAACTTTCACTTTCCGCGGTGCATCTACTCATATACGCGGGAAGCGGCGCGGGCAGGGTGCGCACAAGGTCGCCCAGTCATCAAAACATTACCGAGTTCTTCACCCGCCACCCACCACAGCCGGCCTAAGTCAGTGATAGTGATAGTGAGGATATGGACTTATATGGACTTTGAGGGGTTTGACAAAGAGGCCCTGCAAGCCTATGTGGTGGATAGTGATACAATTGATACAAGTGATACAGGTGAGGGCCAATAATCTGCCCTCTGCCTCGGAACCGACCCCCCATCCCTGTGTGCCCAGCCATCTTTTCTACTAATGTAAGTGTTAAAAAAACTAATATTCTTGATATTTCTCTTAATGATTAATTGTGTGTGCATACCATCATAAAATTAAGATGTAATTTTTACTACAACGTAGGTATTGTATCTGAAAAAGTGGAGTTTGGGGGTCGGGCCAGTCTCTATTGGAATTAATCCCATATGTTCTGTTGTTCACTTTACGCGGTTTTCACTTTCCGCGGTACCCCAAGGGTTTAATTGACCGCGTAAATCGGGGTACTACTGTAGTTTTAAAGTAAAATATTTGACAATACAGGTAGTACAGTACTGTACAGTATTTGAGACTTATGGCAACTCAATATGTGTGCTCATCCTTCAAATAAAAGAACCCAGAGTCTCATGCGAGATACAACATAGAGCTGCCCTTACAACATAGTAAATACTGTATAGCCACTTGTAGCACAGTAAGTGAGTTTTATAACCTGCAGGTACCAGCAGGACCACATTGAGATGTCTCTGAAGTGGACGCTGGAGAGATATACACCACCTGTGTCAGATTCCCGGTATTGTGTCATCTTTGTGCCTGTTTTTTCCAGTAAGACCCTCATTCCTACTCACCATGTTGAACAGTAAGTTAGCAAAATCGGATTTTATAATTTTACGACTCCATCAAAACCAGTAATATATATGCCATTTTGTTTAGGTAAGTAGATCATGTGAAGATTGGCCCTCATCTTTTTTCATCTTAAGAATAAACATCCTAATGGAAACCTAACCTAATACTAACATAAGCTAACCCGACTCGACCCAACCCAATGTAACATAACATACCATAACGCCCAGGTAGCATTTATGTGTAACTATATTTTTACTTTTTTACTTGTATCCTCTTCACTGATCAGCTTGTCAGCCGCTTGGGTGATCGGTCACGTCTCTGTTACACACTGTTGGAAGTACTGGGCATGCACCGGCTCCTGAAGGAATCTGAACCTGCTCCAGTGTTGGTCAAGCCTGGTCTTGAAAGAGCTCGCATTCGGTGCCGTCACAACACTCTCTGGCAGATTGTTCCAAGAGTTAAAAATTTTCATGGGTGAAATAAGCTGGGGGTTAATCATCAGGTGATCCAAGGTAGCTGCCATACCTGCTAATCATATCCATAGTTATTATGTTACCATGAGTCCTTGAGTGATAATGTTAATGTGTCTCCCATTACTGGGTTGTCACAACCAGGAAGAGTTGTTTACCTTCATGCTCCCTGGATGATATGATAACACTCATGGGGTTAGGTTAGGTTAAGTTTACATTAGATTAGGTTAGTTTTATCAGGTTAGTTTGGTTAAGTTAGGTTAGTTTGGTTAGGTTAGATTAGTTTAGTTAGGTTAGATTAGAGTAGGTTACCTTGGTTAGGTTAGAATATATCATTAGATTAAATTAGTTTGGTTAGGTTAGTATTGTTAGATTAGATTAGGTTAATATTATTAGGTTAGGTTAGAGTAGATTATGGTTAGTTTGGTTAGATTAGATTAGGTTAGTTTGGTTAAATTTTTTCGGAGTGAGAGTTGGGAACTCTTGTAACAGTCCGCCAAAGAGTGTGAGTTCTTTCAAGACCAGACTTGACCAACACTGGAGCAGGTTCAGGTACATTCAGGAGCCAGTGCATGCCCAGTACTTGCCAACAGTGTGTAACAGAAACGTGACTGATCGCCCAAGCGGCTAAGGAGCTGATCAGTGGCGAAGAGGATAAAAGTAAAGTAAAAGGTGTAGGCTAGGTGTAAGGAGAGATGCAGTGGTGTAGGCCAGGGGTGTAGGACAGTTATTTAAGTTGTAGGTTGTACTTTAGTTATTTAAGTTGTAGGTGGTGTTCTTGCCGTAAAATATGAATTATTTTTAATCAGGTTGTTATTGACTATTACAGACACCTCGACAACGAGCGACGCAACCGACCTCATTACGTGGCCAGTTCCAACTCTTGCTGGTGTGATAGGGACGCCTGGGCACAGCAGTCTCTGGTGGGTGCTCTGTCACTCACATAGGTTTATCATTTTGTGTATCTCTATTTGCTACTCTGTGTGTGTGTGTGTGTGTGTGCCTCATTTACACACAATTGCAGGGTCTCAATTGTTTCTCTTACTTTGACAACACAATATACATACAGTACTGTACGTATATCGTTTCTCACTATTGATCTTTTTTAATTTTTGTTTTTCCTTATGGTTCTTTATTATTATTATTATTATTATTATTATTATTATTATTATTATTATTATTATTATTATTATTATTATTATTAGTGTTATTATTATTTAATTTTATAATTTTTTTTTGTATTAAAATTTTTATTACTGAACTAAATATTATTTTTATTGTTATTATTATTACATTTTTGCCCCCAAGCCTCGATGGGGGTCAGTGACCTGTGCCTAGGTGGGCTAATCCTGTTAAAAAAAAAATCTGATCATTTAAGAAATCCTGAGAATACATTGCACAGTATAGAATAAGGAGTATCCATAGTACAGTAGATACATGTGAATGCAGTTTTTGAGATTACGTCATTATATAATATAATACTGTATGGAAAGGATTCGTGTTTCTTCAGGGTAAACTTCCACTGTTATACGTGGTAGAAATCCACATACGACCATGGGATCCCCACAACATGCAGGTGGCCAGGAATCCGCAAGCCCCATGGACATCTCCCTTCCCTCCCATCCACCTCACTGAGGCCAATTGCTGCTACTTCAGGCAGAGTTGTCATCAATGTAAAGTAAGTCTGTTCTCTCTAGAATGAAGCAGTTTCTTGCATGTGAAACAGGATAGTCTAAACAAAAGTTTAGTACTGTACTGTGCCTAAGTCTATAGTGTTCATATACCCCTGGCAGGAACCTACCACCAACAACACTGTCTGTTGAATTATCTATCATAAATATAAGAAAATTTTCTTTGCTGGTCATTAAGCAGCATGTGTTAATATAATTTTCTTCTATTGCCTTATTAGTACACTGCAGTCAGTCCAATGGTTATTATTTCTGTATACTGTTCATGCTGTTTTGATACAGCAGCTTTTCTATTACTCCTTCCTAACACTATGTTTGTGTTTAATTTTATCATATTCCATTTAATATTCACTTCTTATAAGAGCAATCATAGTTGTGTTCACAATGCAACCTTGTGCTCATGCCAGCTGTTGGCACATACACTCAGTGGACTCCCAGTAGTTCCTGAAACTCATATAAATTTTTGAGTATGTAATTTATTTTATTTGTGAGTAATATTCAGGAAAATAGGTTTGCGTCCTGTGACATACAAATCTCCAACACAAAAATGAAAGAGAGAAAAGAAACTAATAAGAAAATAATCCTAAAACTAACTTGCTGGGTGCCTTCTTGTCTACTGCCAAAAGATTCTTGGTGACAGAGGCAAAGGGAAGGTAAGATGTGACTTGTGTAAGCTTCCATGTAAAACTAAGGTGGCTCATTGGGGGTCAAGGTTACACACCACCATGTTAAGAAGAATAGGATGTTCTTTATTAAGCACCTAAGAATGTTCTTGTGGTATGTTTTGGACACTACCTCCTGTGTTGGCTTGGTTATTGTTGTCTCTGTCCTTGCTGGCTTCTGGTGAAGCCTCATATTTTTTCTACAAACTAAATTATTTGCTATACTCACCACCCTCAAACTTGTAGAAGTCACCATCACAGAGTTCCATCATCACTGACTCCCTGTCCTCACTACTTGCTCTTAACACCCTCAACTCAGAGTGTTACACACTTGTCCTTTAAGCCAGACACATATAATGAGTCTTACTCTTATCCCCCCACCCCAAGGCTCTGTTGTGGGTCGATGACATATGCCCGGGTGGGCTATTCCCTGTAAAACAACAAAAATAAATAAATAGAACTATCAAACAATACAAAAAAAATTAATAACAAAAGAACTTGTTGATGAATTTGTAGCGAGTAGGCAAGTACAAACAAACACCAGCCAATCCATTGTCTACCATGATGAGATATACAGTATTAAGTATACTATGTATTATGAGCAAGTCCCTGTAATAAGTCCAATACACCTCAATGTTATGTCATGGGATAAAATCTCTGGTTAACTAATTAAATACCGGGTACGTGAAAGGCTATACCAAACTCTTAAATCACTCAAAACTAAGATTAAGCATTCCACTCATAAACAAAATTTGTTCATGAGTGGAATATACTGTATTAATATAAAGTATAGTTATAAGAAAATTACAATACTGTACTACATACTGTATTTGACTAACCCTCATAAGTGATATATTCTGAGCTTAGTAATTTTTTTACATTCATTATTTAAAATTTTTATCTGGATCACAACTTTATTTAATTTATTTAATAAAGTTGTAATAATCTTTAAAAAACTGTAATAAATCTCAATGAATTTGGTAATGGTTCACTCATGAGAGTTGGCAACCCTGCCTTGGTGAGCACCGTGAGCTTAGTCAGCTGTCTTTACACTGAGAAGAATATTTTGTACTCTTCCAGTTATGGTTGTAGACGCAGAATGCTCTTTCAGTACAGTACTCTGAGGAGAGTAAAAATGCGTAGTGATCAACTATGTGTCAGAATCAACTAAACAGTTTTGGTTGTTTTGTCAGTGGATGCTCATTTGGCAAGAAAACTTAATTTTAATGACATTGATTTTGCTCGCCATAAAGACCGAAGAATGCATTCTTAATAGTTGCTAAACTCAAGTTTTATTTGTATAAAACAGTTTAGTATTAGTCTGTTGGTGCAATATTACATGGTGATTTTTACATGTTACAAATTTCAAGTCTTCTGCTGTGCCCATTTTTTGTTCATGTCACAATTATATTCACTGTTGGCATATTATTTGCTGTATACCCTGTACAGCCACTCCTTGACTTACGACGGGGTTAGGGACCCAAATCCAGGTCGTAAGTCGAAAATGCGTAGTTAATACATAGAAAATCTAAAATGGGTGTCTCTTTTTCTTCTCAGCACCACAAAACTCTCACTTTTAAGCATGCCAGCCATTTTAAAGGGAATTACTAGTGAAAATTTTGTCAGTACACAGCACGATCACTAACGTTGGGACCCGAAAATACGTAATTTGAAAAGTATTTGATTACCATAGGGAGTTGTGGCCCTGCTTTGCTAGGAAGGAGGGTTATGGGAAGTCCTTCATATAATGCCCAGTTATCACTCCGTAAACTTGGGTTGGCAAAAGGAAAGGCTCATAGTCTAGTTACTTTGGGTGATGGAATTATATAAACAATGTATGTAGCCCACATTTATATAAGTACAGTATTACTGTCTGTTTGACAGGGGCTAATACAATGATTTCAATAACTAAGAAGGCAAATTTACTATCAATGGCTCCATATATCCATCCAGCCTTATATCTTTTTATTCATATACTGTACTGTATTCTTTTAACAACTGTGCAGGTATACTCAGTATGTAGGTCTGATGTTTAATTGTATACATGTGTATTTCTTTATGTGGTTTTCAGTGGATATGTACAATTCAGCATACTAGCTCATGTCTGTTTTTCCAGTTGTGCCTCGAGGATGTGAGGCAGATATTGATGCACCGCGTTCACGAGCACTACAGGCTCAAGCTGACCGCCCTCCACCAGCAGCAAGAGGAACTCCTCCACCTGATGCACCAACATGGTGTAAACCTCCCATCGCCCACACAATGAACCATAAGTTTTATTCTGGACTAATACTTTTAGATGTTAGCTACAACTGCACACACACACATATTTAAGGATATGGAATATATTTTGTGTATACTAACAGTGCTTAAAGTTGGGCAATAAAGTGAGATGTATAAAACTGCTCTACTGTAGTACTATACATATAAATAGGTCACACAAGAATAAACCTGAACAAAATTTACCATGAACGATTAGACCTAAGCAGTTATAATAACAAGAGGTTTTATTTTCTCTTTTTACCTTTTATTCTTATTTCTATTTTTTCACTTAATTTTACTCTTTCTTTATACTCTAATTCTCTTTCCTTTTCTTAATCTTTCTCTGTTCTTTATACTCGTGAGTTGGGGGAAAGGTAGGGGTGGAGGGGAGGTGAGAATTGAGGAAGGAGGGAGAGAGAGTGACTTGTTTTTGGCTGAGAGGAGGTGGGGGGTTTGCCTGTGGTCACTCCCACCACCAGAGGGTAATCTTATATGAGAGGAAAGGACAGACGCAGCATCGATAGTATCCACAGTGACCACCATCCCATCCGTACTAACACCTCTGTGAACTGTTAGGTTGTACCTTTGCATGCTTCCCTCACTCCACCAGGTTCGGCATGACACGTCTACATTGGTGGGTGCCTATGGGGCGGATCCTTAATAGAGCTACCAAGGGACAGAGGTTTTCCAGGACATAATGTTTCACTCCTCCTCTTTGTTTCTAGAAGCTGTCATTCACAAGTAGTTTGGATGTTACGAACGCTAACTGTAGCCGACACGTTGACTTCGGATGAACACATTTAAGTTCAACCCCTTCCTGCCCAGCCAATTAAGGCAAGGCCCCTGGGTCAAGGAGAGGCACCAAGTCTGCTCCGTCGTCCCTAGGTGTTTGCTTCTAACCCGATGACTGTGGTACCAACAAAACTCGAGGTCAAGCTCACTGGCCTGCAATTATTTGTGCAGTGGCAATCTCCCTGTTTGAATATAAGACTCACATATTCCATTTTCCAGTTGAATACTTTGGCAAAGTCTAGGTACAGTATAAAGTATATTTTAAATATGGCCTCCATGCTCCAGGCTGTGTTCACACCTCCAGCACCTTAAGTACATACAGTAATTGTGTTAAGCAGAATATTGTGTCTTGTGTCTTAATGTTCCTCACAACAACACGAGACTCGCGTACTTTAACAACATGGTTGAAGTGACTGGCTGCATTGTGGAGTAGTGGACAGCACAGTCATTAAGTGCTTGTCTCTGCTCACACCAGGTGTTGTGTACAACTTGTGTGATCACTGGAAATTATTACAGTAAATACAGTGGTCCCTCGGTTAACGAGCGCCTCGGATAACGAGATTTTGGTTAACGAGTTACCTTCCATAAGATTCTTAACTTCGGTTAACGAGCAATCCCTCGATTAACGAGTTTCTTACGAGCTGACCTGAACATGTTTTCGCTTGCATTTGGCGGTCCACCAGCTGTAGTATTAGTCCGCCAGTACAGTAATCGGTTCTAAGGTTTAAATTCCTTACCATTTTAGTAAATATCAAGAAGTTTATACTATTCAATAATTTTAAAAGTTTAATATTAAATTTTTTAGTAATTTTAACAAATATTGAACATGCCATCCAGCCTGCCAACACACCATACAGGCGTCAGTCTTTGTGTCTTTTCAGTGGAGGTAACATCTTGCTTGAGACTCTCTTCAACTAAATGCTTTTTTTCTGTGTTTGCAAGCAAATTATTGGTCATTTTGAAATTTATTTTACATATTGACAATATATAATGCAGTGCCGTGTTGATTTAAAGAACATAATCTTGAATTACACCAAGAGAACTAAAATTTTATGGGTGAAATGGTGCCATGGGGTGACTTCTCTTCCACCCCAATGCCTTTTCTTCTCCTCCACCCCCATTCTAATTCCCATCATCATCATCCAGGAGCCTTCTACATACACACCTCAAAGTAAGTGTACTTTTCTACCTTTTTTGTTGAATTTAAGCAATTTTCGGTGGGCTGGAACCAATTACCCCAAAACCCATTGAAACAATGGTTTCGGTTAACGAGCAACCTTCTAGAACGGATTGTGCTCGTTAACCGAGGGACCACTGTACTGTTAATTATTACTACTACTACTAATAATAATACGATTAATTGATATTCAATCAATTTGATTAAGGACAGCTGACAAAGCCATGAGATGCTTATTTCCAGTAGAGCCCTTATGCCAGCAGCATCTGATGTTTTAAGGGTTAGGTGGCCAACCATGCAAGTACTGTACTAATCATACCCAACGTTGCTTAACTTCGCTGACAGGATAAGAAGTGGAGTTTCCAACATGGTACTACCTGGTGCACAGGGACTTTTCGATCACCTATTAGTAAGACATTCTTTTACTTTTTTTACTTTTATCCTCTTTGCCACTTATCAGCCCGTTAGCCGCTTGGGCAGTCGGTCACGTCTGTTAAGCACTGAGCATGAGCTGGCTCCCGAATGTATCGTAACCTGCTGGTGTTGGTCAAGTCTGGTCTTGAAAGAGCTCACACTCGCTGCCATCACAACACTCTGGCAGGTTGTTCCAAGAGTCCACAATTCTCACTCGGAGAAAGTTTGCCCTCGCTGTTTTCTGGACTTGTGGCTCCTTCAACCTCGACCTGCGCCCCCTGTGGGGCAGGCATCTGCCAGCTTCAGGTATGTACAGTCCACTTCACTAGTGCATTTATAGGGCTCGTCAGGTTTTGTACAGTGAAGCAACCGTGTTTGTTTACATTCAACTGAAGGAAACTCACAATAGAAAACATACTATGGGATCAAATTGAAGTAAAATTAAAACAAATATCTCACTGTAATGATTTGTGGAATGTTTATATGACAAGCCCCTGTAAACGCACTAGAGAAGGGAACTGTACATTCAACTAAGCAGTGCCCTCCGAGATGTTTATACACTTCAATTAGATCACCTCTTGCATGCTGTAGTATAAGCTAGGCAATTGCAGATGTTCTAATCTCTCTGGGTAGCTGAGGTGCTGTAGAGCTGGTACCAGTCTGGTGGCCCTCCTTTGAACATTTTCAATCAATTGACAGTTTCTAGCATATCTTGGGGACCAGACAGGGTGACAGTACTGTACTCCAGATGGGGAATCCCCTTACTCTTGAAGATCATTATGAGGGACAGATCGTTAAGATATCTGAATAACGTTCTTATAAGACCTACTAGTTACGTTGCTCGATTCACCTTCTCACAGTGGCCCGAGAACTTAAGTTCATTGTCAACATACACACCCAGATTCTTTTCACATAATTCTATTAATGTAGTTTCTTTGTTGGGAAATGTGATACACATCCTTACTGTTGGTACGACCTAGGAGCATCCTCTTGCACTTTGTGATTATTGAATCTCAGCAGCCATTTATTTCTTTGACCATTCTTGAAGCTGATAATGTTTTTGGGAGGTGTGAGGCCGAGTGAAGATTAAAGCACCTGTGATGCTTGTTTAATTATTGTAACCTTTCTATCTCTTCTACTACTTAATATTTTACATTAACATGGCACAGCAGTGGCAGGTGAAAAGCAAGTCAGAAATACTTCAAAATGTGTTATTAGTTTTCAACCTTGGGCGGTCACAAGCAGTGCTCTGAACCCTACCAGTACCATACTTGCAGCACAGCATCACATAAAAATATTCAACTTTCTGACCACCAGTCTGGTTAATATTCTAAAATACTGATCCCGTAACGGCGACCTGCCACGACTAAACATAAAACCCCAGTTGTGGGAATTTATAATTATTTATTGGATTTTCACATACCAGGTAATGTCTTAAAATGCAGCTATCTACAGGCATTTTTTGTCTTATGACATAGTTTCAGCTTGTATCATCTGGAGTATTAGAGTTACATGTTGATGTTTACATTACAATATCAGTGTTGACAACAACATAAGGGAAGACAAACAATCTTGTTATTATATAATTTATTGTATGTAACAGATTTAAACATGGAAAACATTATGGACATCTGGATAATATTTACAGCAAGTATTAGTGTAAAAATAATGTATATTATATGTACAAAAACAAACAAGATGAATAATGGAATACAAAATATTACATTTTTAGCTAATTACAAAGAAATATTGATGTATGATTTAAAGATAATTTTGCCATTTTCAGTGGTAGCAGTTTATGACACTCCTTACAGTACCGTACATTCCCTAAAAAAAAAAATTAAAATGTATTGAATTTCTGTACTTGCTGTAAAACAAAATGAGAACAGAAATTTTCCCAAGGTAGATGACAAAGGGAGTGTTTCAAACTAAGACAACAACACCAATGACTGTGTGTCTTGCAAGGTCTCCTGACTGTAGAAAGTCCTGTGGCATAAACTCAGATCAGAGGGAAACTGTGTGTGTGGTACGGTAAACTGACAACACTGAGCAACTTCCCTACTTAGGAAGTTGATGACAAAGGAAAATTTAATCACATATTAGAAGGAGTTTTGTGGTAACTTTGTCTTGCATCACTGGATGAGCATTGTGTGTTGTACGCTTACACCACCATAGTGTATTGTAAGCTTACACCACCATAGTGTACGGTAAGCTCACACCACCATAGTTTACTGTAAGATCACACCACCATAGTGTATTGTAAGCTTACACCACCATAGTTTACTGTAAGCTCACACCACCATAGTGTATTGTAAGCTCACACCACCATAGTTTACTATAAGCTCACACCACCATAGTGTATTGTGAGCTCTCACCACCAAAGGACAGTGTATAATGTAGCTGATTGGTGAAGAAATTAAAATCTACTCAGTTCATATGAGGATAGGATGTATAAAAAAGAAAAAAAAATAGTTAGGGAAGATAATGCTGGTGACAATAACAACACTAATTATTTTATACAACAGCTGTACTTATGGCTGTAATGTATTTTGTTTGATCACATGGGGACCACAATGAAGTTTATGTGTCACAAGAACAAAATGAACAGTTAGGTGCATTATATTGACTTATATTTTAAAGACCATCCAAAATATAGGATTTAAAATGAATCCGTCGTGTGTGTGATTTAGTGAGGAAAAATAATTGGGGCTGTGAGCATTAAAAAACTTATTGGTTAGAGGAAGGGGAAATGGGAAGAGGAGGAGACGGGAAAGGAGGTGAGGAGGAGACGGGAAAGGAGGTGAGGAGAAGAAGAGGGGAGGAGGAAGACAAAGAAAATCATACTACAATACTTATACAACCCTGACCGAAGTCCCTGAAATACAACAAAAATACGCTTTGGACAGACGCACAGAGATACGGACACGAGGAGACGCACAAAACTACGGAAATACACAGACATGAAGAGAATATGGAGATACACAGACGCTTGGAGACACTGATAGATGCACGGACACAAACCTATATGCAATGACGAATGATGATTTCTTTATATAACACCAATAACAATGATATATGATGATTTTTTTGTTTTTCTTTTACGGGGATTAGCGCACCTGGGCACAGGTCACTGACCCACAACGGGGCGGGGAGGGGGGGGGGCTAAGAGTAAAAAAAAAAATTAAAAATAGAAGAGAAAAAGACTATTAATCTACACCACAAAGGTGCCGGAAAACCAACTTTTTGATGCGAGACATTGTATGACTATGGAAACACGCAGAAGAATGCAGAGCATTCCACAGTTTGGCTGTGTGAGGAAAGAAGGATCTACTATAATGGGTTATTCTAGTGTGACCGACATCCACAGAGAAACGGTGGGCACCGCGGGCAAGAAGAGTATTACGAGCCCACGGCCTTGCTGGCGGTACACAGGATGCCAAATCCACCAAGCATTGCCCGTTAAAGTACCTGGTAATTAATGATGGTGATGAAGAATGATGTAGTTTTGATAATGATGGTTTAGGCACTAAAAAACTTCAAAATAGGCAGGCAAAATAAAGTGGCAAAATAGGCATTAAAAAGGCATTTATTCCCAGAGCAATTATAGAAATAAACTAGAAATATAACTTAAGTACATAAGTTCCATAACTATTACTCATATGCCATAAGTTCCATAACTATTACTCATATGCAGGTTAATCAGTCTGGTTACATGAAATAACAAGCATTTTCTTGACTTTTTCAAATTTGAACCCATGCCTTCTGTCAGATAGAAGATGCTTGAAGAGCGAGAATGATCTCTACCTCCACCGACGTCACAGGAGCATATTTAAAACATACCATGGTCTGCGGATTCATTTCCCCAACATCTGCATCATTCTGTCTTTCGAGAACTTTTCCAATATTCTTGATTTTTTTCCAGGTCTCGGTTTGCAGCAATCACTCGTTCACATTTTTCACTTACAGATTTTCATTTCTCAACGGAAACCTGAGTTATATCCACAACGATTGTCTCAAAACACTTCAAAGCATTAATCAAAGGCATGTTGTTTTTCTCCAGTGTATTGATGGCCTTTGGCAGATTTCCATAGTTTGAAGCAATGAATGCAAGCTCATTGCATAGTAATCTATCCTAGGACTGTACTGAGGCAGTGCGTCGACTCCTATACGTCTCGTGCCGACAAAAGCAGTGTTGCCAAGTTTTACGGTGTTCTGAAACTAATTTCGTGTTTGGAGTGTTACTTTGTGGAATTATGTGCAAAAAAGCACAATAGGCTATTATTTAGTAGAACAGACATTATCACTCGCAATTCCCTAAAAAAGGCATTTTATGGCATTTTGCCTAAACATCCCGGCTGTAATGATGAATAATGACTGATAATAATGATGGTGATTAATGACACAGTAATGAGGGTGATAATTAATGGTGAAATAATGATGAGTGATGAATAATGATGGTAATTAATGACAATTATGAAAATGAAGGTGATTAGTGACAAAATGATAATGGTGTTGAATAATGGCACAGTATTGATGGTGATGAATAATGAGGCAAACCAAAGTATTGGTGAAGGTAATCTGATAATGATCCTTTGAAATATAATAATAAATCTTACAATGATAATGATGGTGACGATGACTTGATGAAAATGACATTGTGAAGTGACAATGAATTGATGAAGATGACATGAAGTGACAATGACTTGATGAAGATGACCATAACTTGAGGAAGACGACGATGAATGCAGTGATAACTAATGATGATGATGACAAGCGAAAATGATGGTAATTATGACTACAGTTATTATGGTAAAAAAAAATTAGGATAACGACAAGAACGAATGACAATGATTTTTGATAATGAATAAGACAATGAATTAATGAAGATGACAATGATAATTATGAAAATTGAATTCAGATTGAAAATAAAGATAAGGTGGGGGTGGTGGGTCAACAGCAGTCAGCAAAATGAGAGCAGCTTCCTGCAATGGTGTGGGAAGCGGCTTCAGCTGCACGTCGTTCATCGTCGGCCACGTCACTCCTGCGCTGCTACCTACCTGGGTAACGTGCTAGTGACGTGTATGTGTGTGCGCGTGTTTGTATACGTGGAGAAGTGTACGCCATAACCATTATCGTTCGGTTGTCCTGCAGTCATAAGTGTCGATGGGAACGAGGACTAGGTGTGGAAGACGATGAGTCGTAGGAGAGTGATGAGGGTGGTGTACGTCACGGGAGGTGGACAATAAACACGTGAGTGAGATTCAATGACGGGTGGGGGGAGGGGTGAGTTAAGCGGACACCAGGTTCTTCCCCCACACGTCTGAGCACCTGGCTTGTTATCAACATTGAGGACGACCAGCGGGCATAGCAACTAGCAGCGTGGAACATCAGGTTGCTGGTGGCTCTGATACACCAGGTGGGGTGCGAACGTGAGGGAGGGCCTCATTCAAAGCATACATTGCCGCGATTGATTACTAGTGAAAGCACGGGATATATATATATATATATATATATATATATATATATATATATATATATATATATATATATATATATATATATATATATATATATATATATAAAAAACACCTGTCTCCCGAGAGGGTGTTAATTTCTCGTCCTTGTGATAATTTAAACAAGGACGAAACCAAGTCCAAAAATCCACTAAAGATATTAAATCACAAATTATGTTTAAGTCACGAACCTCTCAAACGTTTTATAAAGTACAGTGTGTGGGAGGAGTGTGGTAGAGGTGCGTGCGTGAGTGAGTGCAAGGGGCCGCGGTGGCCATATGGTGCACCAACAGCTTGACTCATCCGTTACAAGCTTTCTCAAACTTGCCAGTTTCCTGTTATGGTGAATGTTATTGATAGTTCATTGATGACATCATGCTGGCGTTAGTTACTGACGATCTCTTGGTGTTGATTGATTACTCAACAAATTCTTCTAGATACAGGAGAGACTGAGGATTAATAAACGACACGAGTTTGATTTTCACTCTTTTTAAGGCTGTAACAGGTTTTCAAAATGTAATATAACAGTACGCAAAATATGACTTATTTTCCGATTTGGTGCCTATGTTCCTCTTATAAGACTCAACTATTCGCCTGTGCAGAGTTGCGCGATATGTAGTGACAGTGATGATGTAGTGTGGTGTTGTGTTGCAGGTGTAACACCACCAGGTGGAGGAGCACAGTACACGAGCCCGACACTGGGAATCCGCATCGCGTCACTTGCCACACTCCATATGGCTGCTTCCTTCCCGTTACCTTACTAATTATTTTTTTTTACTCGTTACCTTCATGACCCCTCCACTGTTTCCTTATTTTATTATTTATTTTATTTATTTATTTTATTTATTTTTTTTTTGTGGGGGGGGTGGGGGGTCTCTCGATGTTCCGGTACTTTTGCCATGCACAGTTTTTTGCACACCAATGAATGAGCTACTGAGCTGTTGTGATGACTGGTCGTGTCACTTTGCTCCGGTCGGTTAGATTTCGAATCAGCCTGAGATGCTACAGCCACTTCCGCGTGGGGTGCACAGAAATTTTCCAGCCTTAAGAGTTCTTGAACAACAATGCTACATTGTAAACACTAGAACTATCCATTCCAACACTAAACATATCCTTGTTTCTAAAACTGTTAAGGTCAACCGTAGCTTAATGTCTGCTGTGTCTCCATTAGAGCTTCATCGAGGTCAACACACGTTGCTTGTGTCACCTGATAGGCTAGTTTTTGTATCTCATCAGACAGGCATGTTGTTCTCATACCCTGCCAAGGTACAGTCATGGAAAGGCGTTTCTATACCCCTTGTGATATCCCCAGCCAAGATAAATTCATATCCATATACGACTGCAAGGGATGATTATGAGGCAGTAGTCAAATCCCCACTGATCTCCATTACTGCGACCCTGCCACATCTTGAGTGGGTATATCACAAGGGGTATAGCCGTATAGAAACACCTTTCCCTGACTGTTCCCAATGATTGCCATCACTAACTGTCGAGGTCAAGAACACACAACACTGTCAACACTCTTTAAGAACAGCGAGAACAATGGCCTTGAATTTCGTATGACAACGAACGTGGAGTTAAGTTTACTTAAATTCTAACAACATTCATTATAATTACATCACGAAAACCGACAAATATCTAATTCACATTTAATTTTTACGGAAATTGTCCCCCCAAAATATGCAACGCCAAACAAGCTGTAAATTTCCATGAACGACTTTGAGAATTGGGACGCCGTCAATCGGTGTGCGGGAGTGGAAACCTGTGTAAAATTAGCTTGCGAACGAATTTGGTTAAGAGAGAACCGAAGTCATTCATTAGTAAAGAGAACAAAAGCAGGCACGTGGGATTTACCGATTTGGGCAGAAGAATGTGAACAGAGTCTAGGAGTGAGGCAGCTGAGCACACGGCGGCAGGCAACACACCACTCACGTTAAGGTATACAGGAGGCAAGACTGGGATGTAGTTCAGACATTTACTGCCACGGAAACTTACTGTCACTGAATGTGTACGAGAAAAGATAAACATACCAGGTGTGAAGACAAACAGGGTATCGGATACTTTAAACACACGGTAAAGATCAGCAAGTCGACTGGTGATGTAGAAATAAAGGCTTTGTAGCCGGACATATAAGAGGATCAACCTAAGAGGATCAACATAAGAGGATCAACATAAGAGGATCAATACAGGTGGATCAACAAAGGAGGATTTAATCTGTTAATTAAGTAGGAAGAGAATTACGTAGATGAGTTAGTTAGGGCAAAAATAACGGGATATATTATTTTTAAAGATAATAAATTCAGTATACTGTAGGCTGAATACACCTGTCAGATGATCTAAGACTAGGAATCACCTGAAAATTAGACATCCAACAATATTTCACATTTGGATTAACCACCTTAATTCTACCAAGAAGGGGTTAGGTTAGATTAAGATAGGATACGATAGGTTTGGTTATATTTAGATAGTATACGATAGGTTAGGTTAGCATTATGGTGGTTAATCTTCAGGTGAAATGTAGATGTGCGTAATTTTCACGTAACCCAAGAATAGTGAACTCTCAGTGGAATTTCCTCCCTCTATAAAAAAAAACTATGTATAGATACTTAGTAAAATGAACAGTGCGTGTTATTGCCATGGTAAGTATTAAGTAACTGTAAAGAAAACTGCCTATAATAAGTGTTGGTATATCTCCAGCACATGGATATAGTAGTTCAGAGGTAGAATGTAAATACAAAGTGACATTTTTTATATTCCTAACTTCATAATCTAAAACCAAATAAATGTGTTACCAGATGATGGAAGGAATGTGGGGTGTGGGTGACGTATTGGCAGCAGTGGTGGACATGACCGTGTTGGGGGAGGGGGACAGTCATGCAGGGTTGAGTGATGGAAGCTCTTAATAGGTCACCAATGTGTATGAAAGAGCACGTATATGGGGGATGACTTCAGTATTGTGGTAACTCATGATGTAAATATTACAATGATTATATATTTGACAAAAGTTGAATCAAGGAATAAAATAAATGTTTTTTCTACACTGAACAGAATTAAATTTTATCGTTTATGTTTTGCGGCGAAGACTTGTTAACAGGTATGCTTATGGCGGTGTAGAGGAGGCCTGAACAAGGACCCAATAATAAAATGACTTGCGGCCTCTTTCTCTCTCACTAACACTGACTTAACAAACAACACTCGATGCACTGAGCACTTAACTGCTGCTGCTGACGGCTGAGCGGGTTAAGAGGTGTGTACCCTGTCACTGATACTCCACTGCACCATCATCATAATTACCAGACTTGCACTGTAAGTAATTATCACTTTCACGGGACGTGTTACCGTGTACCACACACCGGCGGGCGGTCACCTCAACGGCCAGGGAGTCCTAGCTGTTCCAGTGCGGCAAGCGTCACTGTCATGAGTTACGAGTGCCATCTGTCATGCGCCTCATGCGCTCCCAAGGGTGCCTCACTTATGGTAGGTACCCCAACGAGTTCTCAATGTTCTCAGAGAAGAGGAAGGAGTTGTTGGGCTGCATGGAGGAGTAAGCATCGTCCTCAGACTCCGACGCTGATTGATTGAGGTGGTTGATGAGGTCGGTAGTCTGATTAAGTTTGAGTTCAGAGAAGAGAGCAGCGATCTCTGCTGTTTTCTTCATAGAGAGGATGGAGGCGGTGTCGCTGTCCTCACGCTGCTGACGCTGCGACGCTCCTCGGTACACAACCTTGCCACTCGGGTCCACCGCAGACACTAACAGGATCTTCTGGTGGGAGGTACTCGAGCCCCTGGAGCTTTGGGAGCGATGAGTTCCCACTCCGCTGCCGCTGCCCTGGGACGACGCCTGGGAGCCCTGGGATCCACCCGAGCCCAAGGAGCCTGAAGGGTGTCGCCGCAGCCTGGGAGACAGTAGGAGAGACTCGGTGCTCGCGGCTCTCTGGTGGGGCGGCAGCCGGCGCCGTCCACTATCCTGACTATGGTAGCCAGACCCGTCTGATCGATGCACGACAGAGATTTCAGAATCCGTCGATAAATTAGAAGATAAACTTTTCTTTCTCATGACCTCTGGGTGCATGGAAAACACTGTGCCTGCGGAGCGGCTTTTGCTGTGTTCGGTCAGGTACAAGGAGGAGCTCTTATGCTGTGTGGTACTGCTGGAGGACCCGCCAGTGTTGCGCTTCCATGAGGTTGGATGTGATTCAAGTTCGCTGAGGTTGGAATGTGACCCGAAACCTTTCTTGTAAGCGGCGGCGCTCTGAACGGTGGTCTCTGTGTTGGTATCGGTCTCAGAGTCGAGGTTGATTTCATACATCTTGAGACCATTCTTCTTGACACGCTTGAGGGAACAGTAGCACTTCTCACTCTCGGCACAACTTTCGGTGTCACAATCACAGGGAGAGTCGTGGCCCTTATGGGCGTGTTTGTCGTGAAGTTTGGTTGAGGCAGCTCGGCGGGGCAGGGAACAGTAGCACTTGCTCGAACACTCACTGTCATAGCCACACTCGCTGCACGAAACGTAGCCCTCGTTGGCTCGGGATGGGTTTCGTCGAGGCATAGGCGTCTTGGGAGCCACCTTCCTCCCGGTGCCCTCCAGCATATGACTAAATTCATTTTCCTTGTTGTCTGTTCGTCTCTGTGCGCCAGCACTTCGTCCCGGCCTCTCAAAAGTGTAGCGACTCTTATTGTTGACCAATTTTCTGAGTGGTGACTTATCCTTCAGGTAACTGGACTGTAGACTGGAGGCGCGGGAGCCCAGCCTCGAGAACGAGCGCTTAGTAGCCTTTAGGACAGAGGAGATGGTGGAGCCGTCACTGTCCGAGTCCATGAGACTCATGAGGGAAGAACTGCGGCCTCTCGTCTGCTTCCTCATAATGTTCTTGGACCGTTGGTAGATCTCGTCCTTGGACAGTGTCAAAGCCAGTTTTAGTAGGATCTCCCGTTGGTCAGGATCCATCTCACTGAAGGACATTCCACGCGGGTTGATAACTTGCTTTAGTACCTCGTCCACGCTGTTTAAGCCCGTCTTCTGTTTGACATCGTCCAGCAGATCCTGGAAATTGTACTTATTGGTAACATTCATGAAAGACTTGGAGCGAGGCAGCGCCACTCTGGTGTACACGTCGCCGGGGTCTAGCAAGAAGGCGCCCGGATGACGCTCACTAATGGAACGTTTAAGACGCCGCTTGCTGACCCGGGAGTCGTCCAAGATGATGTGTGACTGCAGTATATCTTCGCTGTTGGCTCGCCGAAGTCCCTGGCCAAAACCTGGAGACTTGGAGTGGTGTGAGCGTTTCTTACGGGGTGGTCTGACAGGCACCATCTCACTATCACTCATTACGTGTCTGTCATCCTCCCGGGTGTCGCTGGAGGCCTCGCTCGGTGCCTCACTCCGCATGTTCTCTAACAATGCTTGGTACAAGTTGGCAGCCATTACAATGGCATCCTCAGATGACTGACAGACGAAGCCGTGACATTCAAGCACCTTTGGCACGCCAACCTTCCTCATGACGCAGGCGAACATGGGCGGGTGCTGGATGGCCATGACGGCAGGCTCGGGCACGTTGAGAGGGTGGTAGAGGTTGTACTTGTCCTGGGCTTCAGGGTCGCAGATGAGCGGCAGGAAGGCGTATGTATAGTTCACCTGGCCGTGCTCTGCCAGCTCCTTGCGGATGACCAGTTTCACCGCTGCCCACACCGCGATCGTCGGGAAAGGATTAGTAAACTCGAAATGGCCATCAGGAGATTCCACGTTGCCATGTGTTATCCTGAGTCCGGCCTCGGTGATCTGCAGCGTACCAGGCACATGCCGTTTGCCCCGGGACACACTCAGACGGTACTTGTAATAAAGATCCTTGAGAGGTGTCTGGAGCACGTCTAGGCTAGTGGCTTTTTCGGCCAGCTGCAGCGCCCCCAGGTAGTCCACACGGTACTTCATACTGGAGAGCGACGCTCGCGGTGTCGCCGCCTCGCGCGGCTCAGTTGGACTGACTCCACCACTTCTGGGCCGACTGCCGCGGCTGGTGGTGGTGGTCGGGGAGGGAGATTGAGACTGATGGTGCCGCGACGGTGTGGGTGGGGAGAGTAGGGCGAGGGGTGGCTGAGGTGGTGGGGAGAGGAGAGCGAGAGGTGACGGAGGTGGTGGGGGGTCTGGGGCGTGGGGGGCAGGTGGTGTATTAGGGGGGGCGGCGCGGGTTCCAACTATGGGTTCACTAGAAGCATCAGCGAAAAGCCTCTCAATCTGTGCTTGTACGGTGGCCCGCACGTCCAGGAAGGCTCTCTGACGCTGGTCCCGGCCCCCGAACATACGCTCTAGCTCCTCCTGCACAGGATTGACTGGCGGGGGCACAGGGTCAGGTCGTAGAGGCACGGGGTCAGGCCTCATCTTGTCCTGCCTCCGCTTGTCCCTGAAAAGGGAGTCAATGCGTTGTTTATGCGTGGAGGAGATGGTGCTGGTGTCTGAGTAAATGGGGTCATCCAGGTGAGATAACCGGAAGCTGTATGTCTCTTCCTCGTACTTCACCATGGTGGCGGATGGTCCTGGTCGTGTAGGGGAGGCGGTGACGGGTGTGGCCGCCAAGGAACTGTTGGAGAAACAAAAGACAAACGTTAATACGTGTGAACACAACACAAAAAACAAACTCAAAAGAACATACAAGTAAGCATCACCAATAGAGAACATCTGTAATAACATTCCGAATAAGTGAGCGAAATTCGTAACAAAATATACATATAAAAACTGTACAATACATTGAAGTGTATTGTGATTACGCAAGTTTATGGAGGAAATGTTTAGAACTGTTCCACCTCACATCACTGTGGAGAACGAATAATAAACAAGATATGTTAGCAATACAGAAGTAAACAGATAATTCTTTGTTTACTCGCATATCATTGTTTACACTTGAATTTCAAAAGAGAAATTACAGTAATTTGTAAAGGTTAACTGACCGAGCGATAGGAGCCATCTGTTGAATATATGCTGTCAGTAGTCACAAGAGAGTCTACAGAGTTTAGAAACAGGATAATTCTAAAATGCATCACTGTTAATTGCTGTCGTATTTTTTTAAATATGAATCACACTGGTATTTGTTTATTAGTGTTAAAACAATGTTATTATACCATCAGTGGCTTAATTACTGGTTTACACACATACTCACACGCACATAATCGCGAACGCTAGATCCCCACACGAAAGTTTGTGGCCTACATTCGTTTGCAAAATTCCCATCAACCCATGAAATTATGCGTGACTTTCATATACTTTCAATAACCGCATGACAGAAAGATTATAAGGTACTGTGTGGGACAAATTGTGCGTCGACTTAAAGAGTATATGATTGTGTTATTGCAGCATTGTAGCAATATAATCGAACTAGCATATCAAAGTACTCGTGTTGCATGATAGATGGAGCCATTCCTCGTATGTCCTTTTTATGGTGTGAATTGTAAAACCTTTAATATTTTCGTATATTTAATGCATTTAGGTTTCTATTTTTATCAAGTCATACACACGTAAATACCAAAGGAAGATAACTGCACAGAATAATTTAAACTTAATATAACACTTCGATGTTATTTCCCTATTTGCAACAAAGCCCATACAACCAACCACATTCTAAGCTAAACTAAGATAATGCGTTGTGTTATCTATGTAAGGGTGGACAAGGTTTAGTTAAGGTTGGATAATATGAATTAGAACGAAATCGGTTGATAAAATTTCCAGCTCCTATTCCTCATTTGTTTCAACATATTTTTCTCGCCGCCGAAACGTGAGTTGGAATTCGTTTATTATTTTGATTTAATTCTCTTCATTCCGAGCTTCGTAAATAATATTTTAATCTAGATATCATGATACTGTACAAATACTGTATTCCAATTAGTGTACTGCTGTAATACTGTAAGTACATTATTGTGATACTGTAATATTATTATTATTGTAACACTGAAATAATGAAATAAGTGTTGTACTGCTATAATGAGTAATGTAGCTCTCAATCGTGTTACTATTAAAGAAGCGACGCATTTAAGAATTCAGTACCATACAATGCGTAATGTTACCAAAACACCCACGTACTTAAACAATATTAAGATAACCTGAAGACTATCTCTCCCAGTCTAAAACTATATTAAGATAACCTGAAGACTGTCTCTCCCAGTCTAAATCAACTTAAGATTAAACATCCTAATGCTATCTGGGGGGGGGGGGGGGGATGGGGAGGTTAGTGTTAAGGTGGTTATATCATGTTATATGCTAGCGTTAGTTAAGGTGAAATAACCTGGGATGTCTAATCTTCAGTGATCTCATTATGGAGGTGTGAATTATCTAGTCCAGTCTGGTATATTGTCTCCCAATGGTGGTTATAAACTACGACGTCACTTCCTGGCTCGGGTTTACACGGGTTGGTCACAGCTGCCAACCAACAGTATCAGGTGGTGTCCCGCAAGGTGCTCCACTAGCGCACACTGATTAAAACTTGGAACTTCGTGAAATGTGTGGATTACGTGGAGATTAGACACCCCAGCTCCAGTCATCTACAATGTTTCCTTCTAGAGTTATTACAAAACAATCTTGACCTTGACCTACCCCCTCAAAAACATAGTTCATTTATATAGTTAAACCAGATTTGGTTCAGATATGGCGGAGATACGCTTCATTATATTATTGGCGAGTGTGTGGAAACGGACACACACACACAGAGAGAGCCAAGGTCATTCCAATACCTCGCAAACTTGGGTTGTAAGGGATAACACTTTTGGTAATATTCTATTTCTTGTTGGTATAATATTCAGTGCCACTACCAGATCGTCGCCAGCCAGGTGTTAGAGGGCGGCACCGCGTCACTGAGCAGCAAAATGTGGCGCCTGGGTGTGGTTGAGTGATTGAACACAGGCCGTGATCAATACAGTTATACAGCCATTCTAACAGGTCGTCTAAACGGGTTCTCTGTTGTTGTAATCTATACACCGTCAACAAGTCCAGGTTAGTGAAGTTAGATATTTGATTTATGAGCCAGATTAATGAGGACGAAATATTTTTTTTAATCACGATGAAGTAAGATTCAAATCATAGGTCATTTACAGATATTTTATAAGTTATTAATCACTGCTAATGTTAAACTCGGACGGTAACTACTTCTATAAGAATCGGTCAACGACACACCGACTAATTATGCCAGCAAGTTGCGTTCATAAGCAAAACACATCGCTCAATAAACAGTATCTCGGGGGAGATTATATTACTTAAATCATTTATACACTTAAAATTTTTGTGTTTACAGTCCCCATATCACTTTATTTATTACCACAATACCTAACTCCAGCAGCCTATGATAGCCGCCCTTCGTTAACGAGGAAGAGTGAGAACACCGGGCCAGCCAAGCACTTCATTAGTCTCTACGCGATCATCCGCACATTCCTCGACTTATTTTTTTTAACCTTACAGACGAGAGTAGGAAGCTGACCACCTATTTCATAAACCTTCGTTCCCGATGAATTCCTTCTTTGTTTGTCCAATGTGACCACAAGTGTACAGTACCCACACAAAACCTGCAATACGTATTAGGTTCGTAGTACATAGTTGATGACGTTACTTAGGTCCATCCTGCACGAGGGGTTGAAACCTATATATTCACACCATCTGTTTCTATAACTTTAATGGGATAAAAATGAAGCGGGTCTGTGTGTTTTATGTAATGTGTTGAACCCATTCTGCTTGTGTTCTAACAAGGATCGTGTCTCGATGATCAACGCTCGTTTACTGTACAAAGTAATATTATGAAGTTGTGACGTGACTTAGCTTATCATAGAGGTTTTACCAGCAAGACCGAACAACCAATTTTTAGTTTTGGTCAGCAATTAGTATCGGGCACAATTCTTCATTATATAACATAGTACCTATCATGCTTATCTCTGCCCTGACTCAAAGAAAAGTGGTCATCACAAGGCTCTATTTGTTTAGCTAGTTTTTGTATTTTGTTACATTATCTTTCACTATTGCCTACCCTGAAGGTTGAGTTTCTACGTCCGATATTTCTTCACACACACACACACACACACACACACACACACACACTTGTCTGTTTTATGCGACTTTTACCAACTTAGTTAAATGATTAGGTTAGTTTTAAAGGTGAGGTTATGTTAAATCGCATAAAGCAGACGATCGCCCAAGTGGGATGTAGTCCTTTAGAATACCCCCCCCCCAAGACTTGTGTCCAGGTGCCATCTATCAAGCCACAATTAGGTAAGGATAGGTTTAGTTAGCTTAGGTTAGGTTTAGTTGGGTTAGGTTTAGTTAGGTTAGGTTAGGTTTAGTTAGGTTAGAACGACAGCCACTAAAAAACACAGCTGCTTTTATTGCCTTTGTTGACCAGGTGAAATTGCAACCAGGTGACGTTCATCACCCATCTGGTTAGCTAGAGTACGTGAATTTGAGGCTCCCAGCTTATTTTACCGGGGTGGGGGTTAGTTTAGGTTACTTCAGATTATGTTATGTTAGTTATTTTTTAGGTAATGTTACGTTAGACTTGGTTAGGTTAAATTTAGGTTAGATTAGATTATGTGCGCCTCACGTGTGATTGTCACGACCGTAAATATATATATTTTTTAAATCACTTGCAGATTGGCCCTCCGTAGCTTAGTTCACTTTATTAAACACCCTAACGTTTCCTGAGTGGGTTAGGTTAGGTTAGATCGAGACAGTTTCAATGGGATATTTTAACATTTACTGTAAGTAATAATAAAGCAGCTGCATCACTTTTGTAGAGCTAGTGCGTAACATTATACAACTCTACGGCTCTTTCACTCCAGCCTCAACCATTACCTCAACCTGTTTCAAGTGTGGTGTCTACGAAACTATGAGAATTCCGACATTGTGGCTTAATCCTCCCAGGAATACACCCTGCACTTTAAGGTACAAAAACTGCACCACAGGAGAGAGTTATCCTTCATGCTCTCCATCGCCTGCTGCCGTGTCATATGTAGTTACCAAGGTTAATAACACGTCTGTCTCACGGAAGCCACACAAACTAGAATAATGGCACGAATTATCTCCCAACAAATTATTACAGACTTCGGGTTATTGTGTGTGTGATATATATTGCCGGTAACTTGTCAGATTAACGAAGCGACTATATAATACACTTCATAACACTTTAAAATCAACTACTCGCTATGGGAGGAACCAGAACGTTGAAATCAGAACAGCACTACATCATCCTAACTCGGGGAAAATAATTTCATGGGGAACTACGGCTTATTAGCTACCGTGAGTGTTTTTAATATTTCATTCTCCTCACTAGGATGTTAATAGATTAGAGATACAACACTGGAAAGGTTCAGCTATGTCGATATTGTTGTTGATCTCTTTCCATCTGTGTTATTCTGGATAAATTCTTTCAACTCTCTCTCATTTCCAATCGGGTCACATACTCGACTTGTAGGAGAGAGGCTGCGTGCTGTAAGACCCACCTGGTGGGGGAACACACCGCTGGCCTACCACTGACCATTGTCCAACATGCTGCAGGGGCGGATCCAAGAATATCAAAAGAGGGGTCCAAGAAGTTGTGGGAGGGAGAACATG